ATTCACTAAATCCTGAAGACTGCTTAGCAATTTTTTTTCTTCTACATCTTCATTTAATGAAAATACTTTGTGAGCATACTTTAATCTGCATAAAAACCCACAAACAGAGCCCATCAAAAGGGGTCAGAATTCTTTACAACCACTAGCTTTACTTCAGAAAATACCAGTGAAAATTTTCTTTATATATAGTTATGTTCACATGGAGAAATTAAAAGATTTTCAGGCATCCATTTATTTTTTGGTTCCTTTCATTATATATATCTACTGTCTGCTTCCCAGAGATCTTGGGCCCTTTCCAGTGCAACTGTAACCGCAGGCTTTCGGATCTTGTTAATTCATCTGAGTCACCTGAAATTAGAGGACACAGTTTTAGGTCTTGATCAGCATGCTGTGGTGGGGCTGTGGCACAGCAAAGGCAACGCATGCTGCTCAACTTGGTCTGACATTATCTAATATTTAAACCAGCCTTTGCTTTATGCGTTCATGCAACTGTCTGGAATCTGTTGGCAATGAATACTGAGACTGTAAGACAGAAATATAACTAAAACTGAAAACGTTTCTACTACATAAACAGTCTAATAAAGATGAAATCCATTACGTTACCAGTCTCCAAATGCAGACCTTGAAGGATATGCCAGCTAGTGGATGGTTAAGAGTTTCAGCGTATTGGGCCAGCCTCCAAAACCCTCAAGCCACTTGGTAATTAACAGACATCTAGGTCCTCCACATGAAAGAAGTCTATTGTTTAAACAGTGACACAAATTTTTCCTTTCCGTTTCATAGCCGGTCTCTGCCTGTGTTTTAAGATTCCCTTAGGACCATAACAGTTTATGAATTTAGAAGCTCCAGTTCTCAAATAGACAATTTGTTTGACTTTTAAATGCCAGGAATGCAAATGTGCTTACATCACAGGTAGAACAAAATCATTTTACAGACTCCTCAGACATCCCAAATCTCCCCTTTCTCTTATTTAATAGCTGGAAAAATTATTATTCAAATAACCTAATTAAAACCTAACATATCTACAATAGTAACAGAATTAGAAAACAGTAACAAAACGTACTGAGGGCCTGTAAATAGCCTGTGAGAAGTCCAATTAGTAAGCAACATATCTACAGGGAGTATTAGTCTGTGTCTTCATAAGTAATGATGTGTTATAGCAAAACTAAGATAAACCAAAAGATGCCCCAATGAATACATTTTGTAAAGAAGCAATGATCTACGATCTGTATAAAATTGCCTGTTCTCTGATCTGTTATCTTACTCAAGCCAGATTAGATGTGTGAAAAACAAGAGACTACATATAAGCCATACTTAAACGTAATAGAAGAGAACATAATGTTAAAGTTACATTTTGAAAGAATGAGGTGTGGACACTTAACTATAAGGGAGCAACTTAAATCACCAAGAAGGATAGCAGGGAGGATGTGACAGAGAAGGCGCTGGTAAAAGTACTCAGTTGACATGAAAATACTTTAAGAAGAAGAGGCAATAAAATAAAGAGCCAATCCCGTCAGAAAAGGACAACAAGCTAAATGAGAATTATAAAACATTTTCCGAATGCCCATGGCTTTCCAAGGGCTATGGCTTTAACTGCTTTGCTCTTTTCTGGAGTCTGACTGGTGTCTCTGTACCTCACCCAAGCCTATCTGGCCATGTGAGGAAACACCCAAATCCCCACCGCGTTCAAGACGATAAAAACAACCCTGGAGAAGAGAACTGGATGAGATAGTTTCTTTTTTGATCAGCTTCATCTCCTCCCACTCAAAGGGGCCATTTGCAGTCTGCCCATCTATGCAATCGTTCACCCGAAGTCTCCAAGTAGGACCAGAATTACGAATTACATAACACAAAAGTGTAATTCAGCAACTCAACCAGCAGCACCACTCTCCCACCACCACCCTAACGCAGGCAGTAGGGATCCTGTAAAGCGTTTGAAACCAGCTGTCCTCACCTCTAGGTGCAGCTGGTCAGCCCAGGTGTTGACTGCAGAGCCCCAAGAAGCTCATGTGGCTGCAGGCAGGTTACTGGGATGTCAGAGCAGCATTGCTTGTGAGGTTCTGCCACCTAACAAGTTTGGGAAGAACTGAGATGATTAGCTCACTGGCAGAATTTGCTGCTATGTTGCAGAAAGCCTGTCTTACAGTTCCAGGTAAAAGTAAAATCAAGGAAACTTGGCTATATTTCAAAACTGCCACCTTATTGTCATTAAGAAAGACTCAATTCCCGCTCCTTTTGCTTCAAATAACAAACGAAATACTAATTTCTCTTTTGTCTGAGAGGCATGCAGTCATGTGCTTCCAGCTTCTTCCATCACTCCCAGTTGCTAATAAAAGGTTTTGAGTGCTGCTGACACTTTATAAGGAATAACAGAGATGACACCAGCGTTACCTCTTCGCTACATGCCCTCTGCATTCACGTGCTAAAATACAGAAAACTGCATTTCCAATCGCACTGACGTAAAGCACATTTATACATGCGCGAATGCATCTATAAATGATTGACTGATTTCGATCGGTCTTAAATTTCAATTTAGTAGCTTCTTTGCATTAGCCCCCACAGACGGCCTCGGTGCTTCCCTGCTCTTTTTCCTGGAGCGACCTCCACGGACCGCAGCAGTGCGTGCTCACCGAGAGGCACCAGGCGAAAGATCCCGCTGCGGCAGACGGAATAAGCTCCAGCAGCTTGCTCAGAGCGAAGGGGCTGCTTTCCTCAGCGCTGCAGGATAACGCCACTGACTGCTTCCAAGTAAAACCGCCACCATGGTCAGATTCCTAATACTTACATTTCAATGAATTATTGCTGGAAAAATGCTCACGCTCATTTGCTGCTCACGACCGTGAAGCATAGGGCAACTTTATCATCACAAAAACCCAGTCAAACCATCGACCTAACCATATCAGGGAAGCAGACATATACAATCCTGCTATCCAACCATAAACATAATTATTGTACAACGGCCATTGTTTATGAGACTGCAGTATCATCTCCATTTTGTTGATTAATGCTTACCATACAGTTTCAAAGCATGTAGGCAAGCACAGGAACCTATTTAGGAGGCATTCAAGGAAGGAAAACTTTATGAGGAAATAACCATTTAAAATAATTTCTAATTAATACAATCATTATGATGCTTGGCTCCATCTTCTCTGTATTTGATATATTTCTGACACACACTTTATAAGGCCACCAAGTGTTTTATAACACTCATTATTCACTTGCATGTTCACATATATTAATAATTCAGTAAAATGAAAGCAGTTAATCTGCAAACATCATCTCACAATGCAGTATATTCCATGAACGAGAAAAGCTTGTATTCAACTTTTAAATAAACAATTACAGGAGAGAAATCTCTTTTTTTTAAAACATGAAGGATTATTTTTATTGGGAGATTTGTAAGCACACTAGTAGTGCCCAGCCATCCTGTTACAAATAATGTCATTGTTGGTTATCTCATTTCTCTCTGTAGTTAGTACTCATGGCCTAATTAGTGAACTTCAAACTTGAGGACAGATGTAGGCATACCTATGTAAACATTTAAAAGGTTTCATGAAAGTACAAAGCAGATGCTGGACATCAAAATCTTCTCAAGGATCCTGGGTCTGACCAGAGCTCCCAGTCATGTAAACATAGTATTCTCCCATGTTCAAATTCAATTTCTATTCCCCTCCACCCAACTAAAGAAATACTTTTAATAATATCCACAAGATTGGAAATGCTTTGGCAATTATTTGAGCATATTATGTCTATCTCTACAGTTTACAGTGGTGGTAGAAAAAGAAGCGACAAAGAAGTGACGACAAACCACCCTCCCCACCTTTTAGGAGTTAATTTTTGTCTCTCTGAAAAATCCCTTTACATAGCTGCAATGAAATCACCTGTAAAGTAGCGCTGCTGAAAATGTCAAGGACAATGTAAACTTCTTTTATTCTCACACTTTGAATCAAAAAGGCAGTCATAACTTAGCACCTCATAGGGTACAGCTGCAACCAGCAACGGCAAATGGCAGGGGCCAGCAGTTAAGCAACTCATTCACTTAACAAATATTTTAATTTGGCGAACTGGAATCAAAAGCCCAAACACCCCTCAGTAACTCGCTTTAATTGCCTTCTCCCCACCCGTGTGCCCGCAGCCCCGCTGACCTCAGCCGGCTGTCAGCGCCCCTGTGACCAAGACAACCTCCCCACAGGTGCCTAGCGACTCCATGACAGCTGTGGGCAGCCCCACCGGCGGGCAGGTGGGGGTCCAACAAGCTGCCCACACCACATGCTGAGAGAGCCACCCCAGCCCCTCGGGCCAGACAGGCCCCACCAGACCCAAAAGAGCGCTCAGAGCCACCCCAGCAGCCTCACGCTCACTCAAGCAAATCAGCTGCCTGCCATCGTTCCCCCCCCCGCTTCCCTCCCGCCCTCTCCGACCAGTCAGCTCTGCGCCAAAATGGCGACGCTCCCACAGCGCCCGCTCCGCCCACCCAAAATGGCGGACGCACCCCCAGCCTCTCAGCTTCCTTCCCCCCCGCCCCCGCTGTCACTCCACGGCCGCACGACCGTCCCATTGGCCAGCGCTGTGCGCACCTGCACCACCACACACCCCCGCCGCAGCCAATAGCGACGAAGAAAAGCGCTCGTCCTTCCCTTGAGCGGCCCCACCTCCTGCGCGCGGCCATTCGCTCCCGCGGCCCCGCGCCCGCCTTGCGCATGCGTCCTAGCCACCAGCCGGAAGGTTCGGCGCCCTGCGCCGCGGGCTTGGGGTGGGGGGGGGCGGGAAGATTCTCGGCGCACGCGCTCTCGCCCCAGCCCGGCGGAGGAGTGGGGTCGGTGTGGCGCTAGTGCGCATGCGTGATGCTCGCCGTAGGGGCGGGGAGTGATGGTGGCGGGCGGGCAGTGCCGGTGCAGCGCAGCGCGCGCTCCCGGTGCCTGAGCGAGCGCGCTCCCGGTGCCTGAGCGCGCTCCCGGCCCGGCCGAGCGCCGCCTGCAGGTACCACTGAGCAGGGACGGGGAGGAAGAGAAAGAGGAGGAGGGCGAGGGCGGTTGAGCCGGGGCCTCGCGAGCGGCTCCGCCGGGGCCGCACCGGTCCCTCAAGCGAAGGTCCGTGGCGGGAAGTAACGCCACGGGCGGAGCCGCGTGGGTCCTGTCACCCGGCGGGGGGGGGGGGGGCTGCGCCCGACCTCTCCCGTGGGCTGCGGCCCGTTGCTCCCCACGCCGCGGGGAACTCGTGCTTGAAGGGGTAGGGGGTGTCTGGTAACCCCCGCGCCTCAGCCTGGCGGGGTGTCCTTCTGCCAGCGCCGCTCGCCTTAATGCTTTTTCTCTCCTTCGTCCCCAGATGAGCTAAGGACCGTTGGCCAGAGGGAAGTGAAAAGTGCTGAGGCGAGGCCCGGAACGGTGTGCCGGTGTCCCGGGGTGGCCCCTGACCGGAATCTCGCCGCCCAACCCCTCCTGAAAGGTTTGACCCCGCCACAGGTTCGCCCCATGTCAGCCATCGGCGAGCACTGGCCCAGCACTCCCAGCCTGACGGGCAGCCCGGCTCCTGGCCGCGGGCCCTTTGTGCTGGCCCTGCAGTGGTGTGGAAGGACAGCAAGATCAACGTGCTGCTCTCCTACCTGAGCTGGGCTTGGTGCCGGTGATAGCCCAGCGAGTGGAACAGCAGTCTCCATGCAGCCGCCCCAGAAGATGGAAGAGGAAAGAAGTATGCCTTAAAAAAAAAAAAAAAAAAAGGCTTTGTTTTGAGTGGTCACTAGGCACATGGTGTAAAACTTCTCTAGCAATCAGCAGTCCTCACTTAACCTCTTTTCCCAGTCAGCCAAATGAAATTTTTATGCCAGAATGAATAGGAATGTTTTTTCAGTTATAGCATAGAAAAGATTATTGAGTTATTTACAAGTATGGTATGTTTTCTGTTCTCTGTGTCATTAGTGGTGATAGTCAGAATCTTAGTATCTTCAATGTGGTTGAAGAATGCTGCCTTCTGCGTAGTGTTATTACAGTGGAGGTATCTTTATCTTACATCTGTTGAGAAATAGATATCTTTCTTTATCTTGCACCTGTTGAGAAACAGATTCAGTATTTTTTTTTTTACTTAAAAAAACCTTTATTTTTCCCTAAATAAATAAGTTTAGTTGCAGTACTGCTGTAGTGACAGCATTTATTTAACAGAAAAAAAAAAAAAAAAAGAAACATGAGCTAATAGGAACCAGGGATTATGTAGGCTCAGCTGAATATGCTGGAGAATATGGGTCATCTCATGACAGCTTCATCCTTCAGAGTTAATAAGAAATGATCTATGTAAAAAAAAGAAATCCTCCCACACCTTGTTTTATTGGACTGTTCTTCAGCTAGATCTTGACAAGACATGGGATGGCTGTTTGAAAGTGGGATGGCTATTTCACCACAACGCTTTCTCACACGGTGCTTCCGCTCATACCCACTGTGGTATAAAGCTTGAAAAACTAAGTAGCTAGAACCATTTTCATTTCCCACCTCATCTCTTATTTGTCCATTCTGTACCTCTTGCAGTGCTGTGCAAGTGCTTTAAAGTGGAAGACCTTACCATTTCCAGGGAGGAGAGGATTGAAGGTAGTATAAATTGGATTTATGGACGGAAAGGGGAAGGTAGTATATATTTGGCATCACTTCAGGAGTGAAAATGATAACCAGAAGACAATATTTTGCCTTTTATTGTATATGTATAAGATGTTAGTCAGCAGCACCACGGGTCCTTTATAGGAAACATGCACCCAAGTATTTAGCTGACGTAAGTAGCCCTGGCCTTGGCTTCTTGTTTCTTACTCTAGCATCATTCCCCAGCACAGTGCTGAAAAAAAGAGATACACAGCCACAAGGATATTAGAGAGGGAAAAGAAAATCCCTCCAGAGATAATGGTTTAGAACTATTGCCACCAGATGCCAGTCCGCAGCCTGAGTCATCAGCTGGTGAGATCATTTTGAATGCTGTCAAGGTAGATCCCCACTGTGTCTGTCCATTTCTTGTCCTGGCTGGGGTTGACAATAGCAGCATTAACACTGGAGAGATTAGTGATTTGGACATAAGTCTTTTTTGAAATTAAAATTATGCTGTGAACTTCATATAAAATCATTGCTTCTCCATGCAAAACCAAGGTTTTGCTGCTAGAGTTTTGGGGCACTCTATCATGAGGACTGGGGAAGCATTTGCAAGGTGAGTGAGTGGTTTGAGCACTACATGTAGTAGTATATGGTTTATTTCCTTTTGGCCTATGCAGGGTTAAAACTGATGACCCAGAAATGAAAAACTTGTGGTCTGTAACCCATCCTCTGAAGTAATATGTGCTCTCCAAACTTAATAAATGTATTGAAATAGCTGAAACCAGATAAGAGATAAGGGCAGCAGTTCTAATCTGCAGTGGTGGAATTTCATTCTAGAATTTCCAAATTTATCTTTTTAATCACAGATATTAAATATTCTTATTTCTTGATATTTAAAAATTGTGATCCTGTCGTGCACAGCAAAAGAATGGGAATGGCACAGGGCAGATGATGTCTTTTGGAGCAGTAGTGTAGGTTTCCAGAAAGTGGTGTGGGAATTTTTTGTAACAGGACTTTGACCTTTCCACGTTTTGTTTTAAATTTCTGTGAATATAAAGGCTCATTAAATGACGTTGAGAGTTACTACCAAATCAGTTGGTTTACAAGGTGAAGTGCTTTCAACGTTTCCTGTTAATGTTAAATATTATGCTCTTAGCTGCTGGTGACCTAAGCAACTGGGGACAAAAGATTGTTACTTTCTTCGCTGCCCTCATACTTTTGAGAGTAGCCACAGACTCTGTACTGCCATGTCATTATGTAGCTTCTGGTATTTTGGGCAACAAAAGTCATTCTATGCCAAGTCAAAAATTAAGATAATGCTTTTTTACTAGCCTTACAAGAACGCGATATTTCATGACTGCTGGAGAGGTGTTACCCTAGTACATTTATCCAGCTGAGATTTGCTGTCAGAAACTGGAATGTAAATCTAGTATGGTGACAGTGGACTCTATCTAGAAATGGAGTGGGAGAACAGATTTACTTATTCTTTTGTGCTTGGTCGTTGAAGAAGAGAAATGTTAACCATGAGAGAGAGCCTGGTCTCTTTCCTGACATCATCTGTTGACACACCGAACCATATTCAGTTTGCAGAGTCGTTGCCGAAGATGCACTGCTAATGTTTTAACAAGAGCTTTCATGAATAGCCTTGGTGCTGCAAAGGTACATACACTTGGGAAAGATTCTGAACCAGTAGCTTAAAAAAACCATTTATTTAAACAAAATGTTCTTTATAATTATTTCTAGTGGAGGAAGGAGGCACCATATAAGGGATGTGTTAATTACTGCAACTGATATCACTTGGTGAACAAAAATTATGAAACTACTTTTATCTGAAAATATTTTGAACATTTTTTTCCCTAGAAAACATACCAAAAATATTGATAGGACAGGATAGTCAGCTTGTGTAGCTAAAGGAGGTTACAGCTATAAAAAATTTTCCAAATAACTTTTTTTTTTTTTTATGTTCACTTAATTCAGTTGAAAATACTCTCCTGTGTCACTTTTGTGAGTCTCAGTGTTGATTAATTTATAGTGGGAGTAATTTGCTAGTGTTTAGAGAAAGGCTTCCCCGGTGCTCTTTGTAGACATGCTTGAAAAGTTGAAGGGAACATCATGGACCATCGGAAGCCACTCAAGTTCATCACTTGACTTCTGTTTCACTTTCATAATTAGATTTAGGAATAAAATCCTGAAGGTTTAAGCCTACAAAAGGAAACAGCTGTCCCGGCTGGTTTTTCAGAAGTACCTCCCAATGAAATGAGTGGGAGCATTTGAAAAGTCTACTAGGAGCTACTTGTTTTAGAATTCTTGAGATCTGTGCAGACTTGTAAATGGAAACTTCCATTTCAGGTGATTTGAAGATGTTTTGGACACAACTGGGAAGTAGAAGAGTGGACGTCATATTTGAGCAGGTGCAAAACGTGCTGCTGTTGCTAAAGCAAAAGATCAAGAATGGAACTGCTACAAACCAAGGTTTGAAATCCTTGCAAAGCTTGATCTGGACTGCAGGGGAGCTGTGGCCTTCTTTGTGTAGGGATGCATGGTATCTGCCACAATTCAGATATCTTTGAATTTAAATTACTTAGTTGGTGTTTTTAAGCACTTTGGAAAATATATCCACTATTAAAAAAAAAAAAAGACTAATCGTTTCAGATGCATTTTGCTATTTTCTCCTTTTGCCTGTATACGTTTTCAAACTGTGTGTGGCTCTTAAGCATGTGGAACTGAAATGTTTATTCTTGAGAAGTAATGAAGTACCTGCAGTGCCTTGTGTTTTGTTTATTGTCAGGAGTTTTAGTCTTTCAAGCTGATCTCAGTGAACTGAATGGTTTTGGGGTGGGATTATAATCACATAACTATTATTTCATGTTGGTGACCCCATTATAACTTGAAACATTAATATAAAAATGTGACAGCAATGCATTTAAGATTGTTCTTGATTTTCATGGAAATAAGTTTCCTCTATTGTACATCAAAATCAGAAGTCTGATAAACTTGGAGCAGTACACAGGTTTCTTTTTACTGCTTTATTTAAATCAGAAAAATTAGGGTTTTTTTTATTAAATCACCATGTAAATGTAATCTACGGATCTTATTGGTTTTTTTATGCAAGAAAATGTACAGTACTGTAAGATGCTTTTAAACTGGTATAACCACACCTTCTGCATTGTATTACTTGCTCTAAATTGATAGCGCAATATTTTGTGTATTTGAGCTCCCACATCTTGATTTTTATGACAAAATATTACAGCAGTGAATAGATAAAAGTTGAACTTGAAGCCCCAGATGACACAATCAATCTGTGACATAGTTAAATTTGAATTTTTCTGTGCTTTGTTCTGTAAAGATTTCAAACTAAAATATTAACATGGATTTTGCTGACATTTATCTGCCACCTTATAATACTTATTGCATGGGGTAAGAGGTTGAGACAGAAATGGACTCTTTGAGGTCTTACTATCTGAAGGGCCATTTCCACCAATTTAGGAGTAGCATCAATTTGGTCTGCCAAGATCTAGCCCGTAGCAGGAAGATGACTAGTCTGATGACAAAGTAAAGAGAGAAAGTTACACTAAGTCATGTTTGTGTACATTATTGCCACTGGAGGATACTGGTTTATGTGTGTTTGGAAACATTACACCAGCTTTCCAAAAGCTGGAGGATATTTGGTGCTGATTCACAACTACTAATAGGAGCTGTAATTTTACTGTCATTTGTAGGTGTGTCTTCAGGACTGGTGCAAAAGGTTTCAAAGAGTATCAGTTTTACAATGCTCTACATTAGCATACTAAGGAAAAAAGTGTCTCTGGACGACTTACACCTTGTTTTTCCTATTATTTATTGCCAGTATTATCATTATTTAAATTACACTTCATATTTGTTTTGTTTTGTTTTTTGCATAGAATACTGGCAGGCTTGGGCGCTGGTGAATGAAGCTAATCTAGGTGATCTCTTAACCGTCACAAATGGTATGTGCATTTCAATTGTATTTATTTGGTATGTGGATTTAATTTGTCTTGTTTTGCTCACCAGGAGCTTATTCCTCTTATTTGAAATCAATAAAATAGCTCTGAGGAGCCTGTTAGCATTACAAGGGAAAAAAAGTAATTATTAGTTTCCTCAGGTACTGGACTGTGGACTCTCACCTGGGTTTGCACTTTTGTGGTTTGGGTATATGGCTTGTACCAAGTGAAGAGAGTTTGAACTAGTAAGTCCTGATGAACCCGAGCTGGCTGCAAGCAGAGTCATCCTGTGCATGGCTCCACTAGGTATAATACGCTGGCATCCTTCTACCTCAAATAATGAAGAGAAATCTGTATATGTGTTTCATACATGTGTTGTCTGCATGCACGTTGAAAGCTACATGGAAGATTTTAATGTGCAAATCACCCAGTGACCTGTGAAAAAGGGTAAATCTTCATGATGCATTTTTGCCTCAAGTTTGTCAGTGTACACCTAAGTTTTTCCCCTTCAGGGAAAGGGAAGGAAAGAGAGAGGAGCAGGAGGGAAGGTGTGAGTGTGTGTCATGTGCCAGCTAGTTGCTCACTTGCACACCTGTATGCAAACACATGACTTAGTTATAAAAAGCAGCTTCTTTTTGTAGTAGGGTGCTTGCTAGCATGCTCTTTGTCAGCTGTAGTTCATAGCCGTGCATTTTTTTTAATATATTTTGACAATTATCTCTTTAGTAACTAAAGTTTAATTATAAATTGAAATGTGGATTGCTGAAGTTTTTGTGGCATTCATATTTTTTCAGTAAGTGACGTGTTTGATGGAGATAGCATACAGGAAACCAAACCCAAATTGCAGCGTCTTCTTGCAAATGACAACACTGCAAACTCCGTAGAAGGTTCTCACAGGTCAGTGTATTTAATAGTTTATTCCAGTTCCTTCTTTGCCATAGTCTTCAGTGCATTTGAGAGAGATTTTAATCTCTCTTTTGTATTTCTGAATTAAACCCAGTTTTGAATCCTTCCAGTTTTCAAAGTGAAAATATTTTTAACTTGACTCTCATGGAAAACCTGAGGTTTTGAGTAGATTTGTCTAGTTTTACCATGTAAGAACATTGCAGAATAAAACAGGCCCGTTAGGGTTGTGAATAAAGATCCACGAGTATTATCAAGGTTAGGACTTAACAGTATTTGAGTTCAGTTCTCAGGCTTTCACAGACTGTGCGGACTGTCAGGGACATGACTTATTCTATCTGTATTTAGCTTGGGGTACTGATTTAGAAGATGCAGGTAAAGATATCATTCCTTTTTTTTTTTTTTTTTTTTTTTTTTAATGTCCTTACAGTGTTTCAGTATGTAAGTTCTTTCTGGAAATAAGCTATTGCCTTTTTTTTTTTTTTTTTTTTTTTTTGTTAATGCCACTGAATAGGTCTTCATATAATGTTAGGACAGTAATACAATACAAACAGTGATTCAGTGAAACCTTTGACTTTCTAGCAATGTGCTGTTTCTTTTCTGTGCTAATAATATTGAACCACTAAAAAACTGAGCATTTAACTGGTTGTCTTAAGGTGCTGCTCTTTTTTTCTTTTTTTTTTTTTTCTTTTTTATTCCAAATAGCAAAAGGAAAGAGGTGGAAAGAACAAGTTCAGCGTGTAAAGAAGCATCTAGTAAAATTCAAGATTTACCTTTAAACCTGCAGTATCAGAACCACAAGTGCTCTAGTGCATGTCTTGCCAACAGATCAGTGGGTTCCTACAAGGGTGAAAATCCTCTTAAGATACCAATCCTGTTTCACTTTCAAAGACGCCATGCAAAAGCAGACTGCCTTTCAAAATCACTGGATGTGAATTATAAAGCTCCTTGTGGTCGAAGTCTGAGAAACTTCCAAGATGTGAAAAATTATTTGTTTGAAACAGAGTGCAATTTCTTATTCGTTGATCACTTCTCCTTCAACACATACGTACTGTTGGGCAGGAACACTGTAAATCCTGAACCCCTCGTGTTTGATTCTGATATTAGCAATGGAGCCGAGTCCATGCCCATTTCCTTCTGTAATGACCTTGACCGCGCGAGGTTACCTTATTTCAAATATAGGAGGGCATCCTGGCCACGTGGATATTATCTCAACAATTTCTCCAGCATGTTTGTTGATTCATGTGACTGCACGGATGGTTGCATTGATAGGTAGGTGGAAGAGTCTAATCCCAGACAAGTGGCACGTGATGCCTCAGTAGTAGGGGGTGGGGGGTGTAAGTGTGAAGGCACACGGTACCAAACTGCCCGATAACGAAGGACTGATGCTGCTGAAATATCTTTGGTAGTTGCCTTGTGCCGTGCTCAGTGTTGACTGACACCACTGTGTCTTTGTCTTCTCCAGAACTTGGGTGCTCCAACCCACCCAGCCTCTGTTATAGGGAAGGAAGTGATCAACAGGTGGATTATTGTGTTCCTTTCCCCTTTCTTTCCATATTGGCAGTGCTTCTCCTCCAGGCGGAGCTGGGAAGCAGATCTCTTGGTTTTAGGAAAGGAGTGGGGGAGGGAGAGTCTTGTCCCAGCAGTGGAAGACTGTTTTTGTGGCAGGAGGGGAAGGATCCTGCATGACAACTTCTGCTGCAGCTCCTGCTGTGGGATGATATCCTAGAGATGGGATGGGAAAGCCTGGAGAGATCAGATCATTTGGAACTTAGGTGGTTACTGAGGGAAGAGGAAGAAACATCCCCATTTTTAGCTTCCATATCCCATCCTTCCACTTGGCTAATCAGAAACTCAGAAACCATTTATGTTCTGAGCAGTTCAAATGGTGTTGCTTGTTGCTGTCTTTTTCTAAAGCCCAGTAACTCTGTGCTACATACTGCTCTGTGGGAACCTGCCACAGTTCACGTATGTGAGGTTGGTGATAATTTTGTCTGCTTTCTTGAAGGGTGTTTGTCTTTGACCTGATCTCTGCCTATAAGTGTTATTTGATGTTGAAGCCATTTTGTATTATTGGTAGCCAGGGCAGTTGCATGTGCTGGTGTGCAGTATAATTGCCCATGACCCAACAAAAGCTTGAAATCATGGCCTTGTATAATGAAGCTTCAGTAATTAAAGTTATTTAGTTCCAGCTGAGCAGTGGGGAACAGCAAGCACATAGCATGTTGCTTCTTTGCACTGAACTCTCCCAAGAGTTGCGATGCTTTTGACGTGCGATTTTTCAGATTCAGGATTTGGTCTGTTGCTGTCTGCACAAACGCTGTGGGTCTTTGGAGTTGTCATGACATAAGATGGTGAAGACCAGCATTATTACTTGAGTTCTTCACTCCGCAATGTGAAATTCTTCACTTTCTGGGGGCTAGAGTGGGAGGAGGGTAGCAAAGTAGTGGCCAACAGGCCGGGGTGCTGTGCCACGACGGGTGATTTTCATTCATTCGTTCAATCCGTTTGACAGTGTCCTGTTAATAATAAATTTCTGTTGTGCTTCAGCTGTTTGCATGTGCCTTTTAAGGAGCTTGACAGAAGAAGGAGCTTGGGATGGAGTAGAACATGATTATTGTAAAGCACACATAACCAGCCAAGAGGCAAAGAGAAGGTTAGGGTACCTGAAATCGCCTTGTGGAGTAAAAGGGGGCAGGAGAATATATATAAGTGTGTGTGCGTGTGTATAGTCAAGTACATTTTAAATTATTGAGACTTATGTTTGATTTAAACTGCCCCAAATACATTCTGAGATGTTTTACTGTTATTCTTTAGGTCAAAATGTGCGTGCCTACAGCTAACTGCAAGAGGCTGTAGTAAAATTTCTCTGTCTCCAAGTATTAAAACGTCCCGTGGATACAGTTACAAAAGACTGGAGGGACCTGTTCCTAGTGGGTAAGAAAGACCAAACTATAATTGTTGTTTTACTTGTTTGCTCTCATTTTACTCCTGTAGCATAAGTGCTACGGGACTGAAATAATTGCAGTTTCTAGATTACTGAAACCTTCTATTTTTGTCATAATTTTACTGACAGATCAGGATAACAAATATTTAATGTGACTTGAATAATAGGAGGAAAAAAAAAACACTTTTCTACTGCAGATACTACAATTTTCTCAGGTTAGTTCAAGGTCCGAGAAGCGTGTGCAGAGTAACATAGTGTTAGCTGGTGCAGGAGCTCAGGCCATATCTGGTCCAAGTCCTGGTTCATTGAGGCATGCCAAGGGGAGGAGGGAGAGGGGAAGGAAACCTGCCATGAGGGAAGGAGGTCTAGTGCAAGACCATCACAGTGTATATCAGCCAAAGAAGTGGGAAGCAGTAGCCACCCTTGTTCTTTGCCCTGCATTTTGTCCACCCATTTCCTCTGTAGGACCAGAGTCAGCTGGCTGCCGTTGCCAGACTTGGTTATGTGTGACTCTTCCAAGTGTCTCCAAAGCTGTCCCAGTACTGCAAGTGTTTGCCCTTTCTCTTATACAGCTCCCGTGGATTAATATGTGACCTGGGGAAGGTGCCAATAACCTCAGGTGTTTAGGAGAGGAATTGTGTAAGGTAGCTTTCTGCAGTAGCCAAGGGCTGAACACACAGGCTTAAGGAGCCCCTTTCAGTCCTTTATTGCTGTGTGATGTTAGTTTATGGTTGGCATGCAGAATTAAAGCTGCCAGTGAACCCGGAAGCAAATGCAAAAAGCAGAGTTATGAATTCTTTTAGAAGTATTTTGGTAAATCCTAAAACTCATGACAGCTACAGTGAGGTCCAGGCAGACAGGTTGTCTTTGCTAAAATCTGTTCCAGCATAGAATGAGGTGCTTCATAGAGGTTTCTGCTTCCGTGTGATTTAGTTCTATAAAATAAAAAGGTAGCATTTATTTTTCTTGTCTACTTATACCAAAATCTGGGTGACAGACTCTTAGAATTGATGAATCAGCAACCAAGAAAGTCATGAGCTTCAGAGCACTGCTGCACAATCAGTTTCACCCGGAGTCTATCTTTTCAGTCAGTTGCCTTATTAATGCTGAGGAGGGAAATGAATAATAGCAACTTTGTTTTGGTAATGCATTCTTTTATATTGTGTTTTGTTTTGCTTCCTCGACAGAATTTATGAGTGTAGTGTGTTGTGCAGGTGTGACAAGATGATGTGTCAGAACAGAGTTGTACAGCATGGCATTCAAGTCAGGTTGCAAGTGTTCAACACGGAGAAGAAAGGCTGGGGAGTGCGCTGCCTAGATGATATCGACAAGGGGACGTTTGTTTGTACTTACTCAGGTAACAGGAGGTGACCTGTGGAAGATGCATAGCATAATTCTTCTGTGACCTGTGCCCTGGAGTTTTTTTGAGAAACAAAGAGAGAAATACAAGGTTGGACGAGAATTGAGTCGATATAATCTTAACTTGCAAGGTGATCAAATGGACAGAAGAACCTTGAAGAACTCCGCAATCCAGTGGTGCCAGAGAAACAATCAGAACTTTCTGGAACAAAGCCTATCTCGGACTGTTGATTTTTCCCTCATGAGTTTGTGCATCCTGTGCCAGGGCTAGTTTTCTTTCAGTATTAAATGCATTCACATTTTGCTTTCCCAAATAATGTTCTTGTATTTTTTTTTTTAATGTAAATTTGAGCTGCAATAGTGTGTGTGACCCATCTTAGCAAACAGTTTAAAAAAAAATAATAATTTTTTTCTTCCAGGCAGATTGATGAGCAGAGCTGAAGTTCAAGTATTGGGAGATACTGGTCAAGAGCTAAAAGAGAAGAATGCTGTGAATGACAGAGGCCATGGATTTCTTTTCAAAAAAAGAAAACTTGACACTGATTGTTCAGACTCTGTGATTGAACTGGTGCAGACTGGCAAAAATGACATTCTTGAGAAGCAGGAATCTTTGTCTCCGACTGTGGATAATGAAAGTAAAACAACCTTGTAAGTTTACCAAAGCAAACTTAAGCATAACAAAGTTAATATTCTGCTATTCTAGAAAGTCCTTTGTAAAACTTAGAGTATAACTGAATGTCCTCAGCTGAGGGTGTTTTTTTTTTTCTTTCTCAACTTTTTTGTTAATTCCTGATTATTTCTTCTAGTGGGACAGAGTTTTTCCTCTATATTAATTTTACTTACTGTGTGTACCACTTGGCATTTTCTAGAAATCCAGTGAATTTTCTAGGTGTACTTGATCTGTTCAGGGCATTAAGCATTATGCTAATTTGAAAGAATTAATAAAAGATATTTGAGATAAATGATTTAAAGATACTTGGTAACACCAAAGGGTTTGATAATAAATTAGCTACTAACTGTCCTGTCCTTTACTCCCAGTCTCTAAGTCTGTTGTTCTTTGTAACAAAATCTGTTGTTCTTTGTAACATAACTTTTCCTGCTAGGAGTCTTAACCTTTCCTGCTAGGAATCTGACAACACTTTGCTTTTGCAGTGAATTATGCAAAAGTTCTGCTCCTGTTTTCATTTTACAGTTAGGAGCTCTTAGCCTATTAGGATTCCTAAAATAAAATTACTGCAAAATAACCATGTGGCTTTGTCAACAGCATGCTGTAGTCTTTTCAGAAGGAAGTTGGGAGCTTGTTTTCTTAAACTTTATTCCTTGCTCTGCCACAGTATTTTGTAAACATTCTCTTTGTACTACACATAAATGATTGCAAATTCTTGCTCTTTTCATAATAGATTATTGTGGATCTTTGAGAAGCACCGTGAAACTGCAAATGGAAACTTTTAAAAATACCTGCCAGTATATTCTCACTTGCATTTCAGTATCTTGGAAACCTAATGAATTTATAATTTTATAAATTACATCATTATCAGCAATCAGCTAGATTTTACTTCTACTAAGTGCTGTTACTAAAAATTGCAGGGCGGTGCAGTTTTAAAGTTGCATTTACTGTACTACTACCTGAAATCTCATCAATTTCCTTTCTTGAGAATAAAAATGTTTTGCATGTGGGCTGTGTGAAAAATATGACAGACAAAAAGACTTTGTTATTCTGCAATGACAAACCAGCTGAACTGAGAAACCTTTGAGAGGACATCCGTTTGTGAAGCTTGACATATCATTCAGCCAAGCAGATTGCCTTTAAAAGGACAAACAATGTAATCACATAATAATGTCACAACCTCTTGTGGCTACTGCACTTTTTGAACTTACAGGGGGGTTTAAATCTTAAGAAAACCTTAAAGAGTAGCATTTATTGCCATTATCAGTAGCCCAGAGAAGTACCGTGAGGTTTTTTGTGGCAAGTAAACACATATAAATTTTTTTCATTTAAAGTTTTCTTGAATAAGAGATGTTACTTATTGCTAAACATTATACAGATACTAAGATTAGTTTTGAAACTGGTGTTTTTGACTGCACTCTGCACGTAATCCAAATGAATGTGATTTTAGATGTTTTAAATGTATATGCCATATACTGCTTCCCATCCTTCCTCAACCTTCTCATGTGAAGCATTGAGGCTCTTTTGTGGGAAAGTATTTTCTGTATCTGTGATATATTGCCTGTCTCCCCCTCTGGCTCTGTGTCTGTCCCTTGTCCCTGCAACATCTTTGCTTTCCTATCTGAAAGCTGCTGTCAAAACTGATGAAAGTGGTATCAAGAAAAAGGCAAAACTCTGTCTGTAGGTGCTGTATTTTGGTATGGTCTGATACGCTAATAGTAAAACAACAGAATTTGTTTCTCAGCAGGAGAACTGGGAAAGGATGGAGAAGCAGCTGCTGATCTCTCAAAAAAGCACGAACAACTGTTTTTTTACAAATACTATTAAGAACTTAACCTAAGGTCCTCAATTCTAAAAGGCAAAATAGTCACAGAACTTCAGGCTCTGGTGTAGACTGTTCTTCATGAACTAGAGACTGTTAGAGAAAAGTGTATGTTTTGAGAGTTACTTGAGGGTCTTTCTTTTATAATTTCCTTTTGACTTTTCCATACAGGGTTCATCCAAGGAATTTAAGTATTGCAACTGTGAGAAGGCCTGGAACTAGAACGATTGTTTTTCATAAACACCAGCTAAAAATGGTAATAATAATAAGTGGCTTTAATGGATACATGTTTCATTGTGCTGAATATGTATGTTAATTTTGACCTTTTCATCTTACACATTTAATTGGTTCTAATGATCTTTCTTCATGAGATTGTGTCACACTGTGAGCTAAGCTGCTGTGCTGGAAGCTGTTCCCCATCCCTTCTGCGTTATCAGTCCTTCAGCATGGTCCCTGAGCCCAGCACTAACTACTCCCACAGCCTTCCCTTCTCTGCCCTTCACTTGCACTCCAGCCTTGAGAGTCTTAAGAAATCATTCTCCTCCTCCACCCGCTGTTGTAACTAACTGCAGGATTAGGGGGTCAGAGTGATTATGCTTTTGTGATGTCTCCCCAAAGAATGACGTGGCGGGGAGAGAAGAAAATCTGGGGAGTTGGATGCAGTTTTCTCATGCAGTGGCACAGTTGGGAGAATTTGATCTGACCTGGGTATGAAGCATTGCCTGCCAATCCATACAAAGGAGGGAAACTGGGGTAAACTTACTCTGTAGTATTCATTGCACTTAAGAAATGCATATGGGGTTTTCATGCTAACATTTGGCAGTGCTGTCCATTCTGGAGTGCCCATAACTGTTTGCCTTTTTTGTGGTGGGAGAGGAGAAATCTTGCTAGATCTGTTCATTTTACTGAAACTGTGTAAAAAGCATGTTTGGGCTTTGATTCAGCAACTTACACAAATATGTTGAAATTCTGGTGAAATTGTTGGGGTTTAAGCACTTAAATGTTTTATTGAGTGGGGAGCTCCTTCCAGGTTATTCTGAAGGGCAATTTGAAATTAAGATAAATGTTGTGTTGCAGTAAATGTCTGAACTTTTGAAACTCAGCCATCGCCATGCATTCTAGTAGGTTTGAAACTTCAGCTTTAGAGTCCTAAGGGCCACTTGCTATCCTGTGTTGACCCAGAGTTGCATCACAGCTTTTTCATTATCTTTTATTCTGTTTAAAGGAAATTGATACGTGGGTGCACAGCGCCAGCTCAGATGAAGATTGTGGTTCTCAGATTCATCAGTCGAGCAAAACAAAACTAACCAGTGGAACAAAGAAAGGAAAAGAAAGTAGGTTTGCAGAGCTATAAATACTGCACTTTTAATACAGTTGTGCCCCATCAGGTGATAAGACTTAAAATGTAGAAGGTGGTCTTTGGATGTGGGCAGGCCTATTCTCAGAGTAGAATGATGTTGTCCTCCTAATGCTTAGGCTGTTTTAAGAGAGCTCAGCAGTACAGAAATTAGTGCTGCCCTGCATAATACAGTGTTTTAACTGGTACAGGGCAATCTTTTGCCTACAGAGTTGATCTTGGGACATCCTGACAGCAGCTTTTCAAATACAGTGCAATTGTGGGAAAGTCAGTCTTGCAGATCTTACTGTGTCCCACCCAATACATGTTCCAGTTGTTAACAAAAATTAAACAAGATATAATGCAAGGGTAAAGGGGCCTCAAGTTGGAGAGGTGGTGTGAAACTGATGCTATTTGCACATGCATCTTGTTTCTGTCTTAATTACAGTTTGTGATTCTCCCCGGAATTCAGGTGGAGAATGATGATAAAATGCTATGTGGTAGAAGTCAGTCTGGAATGGGATTTGAAAAGAATGAGAAACTATGTCAGTCACAGGAGACTTGAGCAAGTGCTTTAGGCACCACAGCAGGAAACAGTCATTTGTGGGTGGATGGATGGGAGGCATGGGAAAAGACAGTTGTGTTATAGACTTGTTAACTAGCAAGGAAGCTGCATACATTTTGAAGAATGAAGGGTGGGTGGCTAAGAGTTCAGGAACAAACAAGGGAAAGGCTCTGGCCTTAAACTGACGTTGAAAAATAACTTATGTGTTCATTGACAGAATCCACTCAGCAGCAGAAAGAAAAACATCCGATGGAAATTGGACAGACTGAGCCCGCTGATGTGGACAGTGCAGAATGCAAGAGTCTGTCTCTGCAGGGTGTTGACTGTGGCAAGTTGGGTGTGCTGGATGACACGTGTGTTGTGAGGCCATCCCAAAATGTACCACTAAGAGCTGACTGCAAAGAGGAAAAGCACAGGCAGGCAAAACAAGACACATTTTGTGAGGAGACTGATGGTGACAGCACACTTCGGAAGAATGCGAATGAAAAGATTTATGTACTGGATGCCACAAAAGAAGGAAATGTGGGTCGTTTTCTTAACGTAAGTAAAAAGTTGCACGTGTTCTCTTAGTTGTCTTAGCTTAAATAACTAAATTATGTATTTGCATAAATGGGAAGGCTTTTGTGCATAAACCATATATGTGGTGGTTGCATGCCGAGGCAGGCTGCGTGGTGCTCCCTGCACTCTGAAGGGACAGAACAGCAGATTGGGTCACACCAGCTGTTAGTGCCTTCATAAAATGATGCATGCTACGTACTAGCTGTAGTTTTTGGCATCCTGAGTGAAATGTTCCCCAGTAACGAGTGACATCTTTCTCCTGAGTTTTTGAACAGCCTTTTTGGGAAGTCCAGAGAACAAATGGGACATTTTGTTGAACCACAAGCTTTCTCCCAGCCTCATTTTTTGTTCCTCAACCATTGTAATTTCTAGCTTGTGCTGATTTAGAATAACTGTTGTGATATTGTAGGAAATTTCTCTACCATTTAATCATAGCTTCAGAAAGTGGTCTGTCATAATGTGTACATATCTGCTAAATATGTCTCAATTTTGACTTGCCAAGAAATAGTAATGAATTACCAAATACCTCCAACTAAGACAAATGGTTCATAGACACATCTGCATGTACTCTGCAAGTAACTTATTTCTCTTCATTGGCATGAATATGTATCTTGCAGCAAAATCCTTGCCTATGTTTAAGCTGTTCTTCACTGCAGAGATAATATGTTCTTAAGATCAGTGGTGCATCTTGCTGAAACCTTTCTTTTGCATCCGTGAGCATACAAATATTCCTACATGTACCTGAATGACCTTTCACATCTCATATCTCTCTGCCAATGCACACAATCATTTAATCAATTGCTTTCTCCCTAGCACTGCTCTCCTGGCTGACAGCGAGATATGTCTGTCACATATTGATAATTTGTGGTGCATCCTGAATCTAAGGTGAATTCTCACCACACATTTCTGGGGGACAGCTTGGTAAAAGAACTTCGTTTTCCTCATCAAAAATACATCCATAATACAACGCAAAGCATACTTTAAAGATACATAGTTACTGCAAAAATAAGTGGCAGTAGCATTGAGTAATAGAGATTCTGTGCAGGCTGGAGAAGGGAAGGAAGAAACCACCCTTACTAGTGACAGATGTCTGACGAAATATGTTCTTCAGCCAGCAATGAGGTGTTTTGCTGTTTCTAATTCAAATACTCTGTTTTACAGCACAGCTGCTGCCCAAATCTCTTTGCACAGAGTGTGTTTGTAGAGACTCACAACAGAAGTTTCCCATGGGTGGCATTCTTCACAAACAGGTGAATTTTTGGAAGTTTAATGTTGTTCATTCAAGACACTTAGTGCTTAGTTGTTAGGAAATGATTATGCTAAGGGGTGGCAAATTCTTAGATCATGAAATCATAGAACTACCCTTCTTATTAATTACTTCTTAATGTGCACTGAAGACTGAAGGCATACAGCTGTTGATTATCACTAAATGAGTTTTTCTTCAGTTTTGCACTGAAATGTAAAGTGGAGAAGCGTAATTTTGATGCGTCCATTTCAGTGATAATCTTCAGTGGGATGATAGGTTTAACTCAGCATGCTCATTTTGAAAGCCAAGATTCACCGATCCCAGTGTTGTCCCTCAAGGAATGGCCTTGAATCAAGGAATGGATCTGGGTCCCGGAGGGCAGGATGGGACCCTACAGGGTCTTAAGGATGAGACACTTTGTGGGCCAAACAACCTGGCTCCAGGCCTTCTTCTGACAGTTATCAAAATAAGCAGGACTTTGTGTAGCCCTATGTGTCATGAGGAGGTGGGACTAGGATACTCAGAAGTAAAAGCTTCTTCTGAAAGCAAAAGATATGGGTCTTCCCTTAGTGGATGACAGAAAGGGAGGTACAGAGAGCTGGTGTCACTGAGACACAAGAAGGTGGCAGCTGAACCCAGGAGAGGAAGAATTAATTGTATAAATGAAGCCAGCTGATGCACATGACAGCAGGAGTACCAGCTGAGAACTTAAAATAGAGAGGAGAGGATTTGTTCGGGACAAACCAACCCCAGGGAACACTGATACTCTGTGGAGCCTTGCAACCCTGGTCCATACAGACACAGATGCTGTGGATTGCACTGTGAGGAGGGCTTCCAAGAGTGGAAGGAGCACAGAGGGAAATACTGGGAGAAACACAGAAAAATTGTCCAAGCAGCCAGGGATCAAGTTTGAAAGGCCAAAGCCTTGATAGAATTAAATCTGGTCAGGGATGTCAAAGGCAGCAAGAAAAGCTTCTGTAAGTACATTGGTTATAAAAGGAGATAGGAAGAATGTGGGCCCTCTCCAAAGGAAACGGGGGACCTGGTTACCCGGCATATGGAGAAGGCTGAGGTACTCAACATCTTTTTTGACTCAGTCTTCAGTGGCAAGGGCTTCAGCCACACCACCCAAGTTGCAGAAGGCAAAGGCAGGGACTGGGAGAATGAAGAACCGCCCCAGGTACAAGAAGATCAGGTTTGAGATCATCTAAGGAACATGAAGGTGCACAAGTCCATGGGACCCGATGAAATGCATCTGTGGGTCCTGAGGGAACTGGCAGATGAAGTGGCTAAGCTGCTATCCATCATGGTTGAGAAGTCGTGGCAGTCCAGAGAAGTTCCCACTGAGTGGAAAAGGGGAAACATAACCCCCGTTTTTAAAAAGGGAAAAAAGGAAGACCCGGGGAACTACAGGCCGTCAGTCTCACCTCCGTGCCCGGCAAGATCATGGAGTGAATCCTCCTGGACAATATGCTAGGGCACATGGAAAATAAGGAGGTGACTGGCGACAGCCAACATGGCTTCACTGAGGGGAAATAGTGCCTGACAAGTTTAGTGGTCTTCTATGATGGTGTTACAGCGTCGGTGGGTAAGGGAAGACCAAGTGACTTCATCTACCTGGCCTTGTGCAAAGCATTTGACACTGTCCCACACGACATCCTTGTCTGTAAATTGTAGACACGTGGGTTTGATGGATGGACCACTCGGTGGGTAAGGAATCGGCTGGATGGTCGCACTCAAAGAGTTGTGGTCAACGGCTCGATGTCCAAGTGGAGAGCAGTGACGAGTGGTGCTCCTCAGGGGTTGGTGTTGGGGCCAGTGCTGTTTAACATCTTTGTTGGAGACATGGACGGTGGGATCGATGCACCCTCAGCAAGTTTGCCGATGACACCGAGCTGTGTGGTGCAGTGACACGCTGAGGGCAGGGATGGCATCCAGGGGGACCTGGGCAGGCTGGAGAGGGGGGCCCGTGCGAACCTCATGGAGTTCAACAAGGCCAAGGGCAAAGTCCTGCCCGGGGGTCGGGGCAACCCCCAGCACAAATACAGGCTGGGCAAAGGATGGATTGAGAGCAGCCCTGCGGAGAAGGACTTGGGGATATTGGTGGATGGAAGACTGACTATGAGCCAGCAATGTGCACTTGCAGCCCAGAAAGCCAACCGTGTCCTGGGATCCATCAAGAGAAGTGTGGCCAGCATGCTGAGGGAGGTGATTCTCCCCTCTGCTCCGCTCTTGTGAGACCCCACCCAGAGTGCTGTGTCCAGCTCGGGGGCCCCCAACATCAGAAGGACATGGACCTGCTGGAGTAGGTCCAGAGGAAGATCACAAAGATGATCAGGAGGCTGGAGCACCTCCCTTATGAGGCCAGGCTGAGAGAGTTGGGGTTGTTCATCCTGGAGAAGAGAAGGCTCTGGGGAGACCTTATAGCAGCCTTCCAGTGCTTAAAGGGGGCTACAGGGAAGATGGGGAGGGACTCTATCAGGGAGTGCAGGGATAGGGTGAGCGGTAACAGTTTTAAACTGAAAGAGGGTAGATTTAGATTAGATATTAGGAAGTTCTTCACTGTGAGGCTGTTGAATCACTGGCACAGGTTTCGCAGAGCAGCTGTGGCTGCCCCCTCCCTGGAAGGGTTCAAGGCCAGGCTGGACAGGGCTTTGAGCAACCTGGTCTGGTGGAAGGTGTCCCTGCCCATGGCAGGGGGGTTGGAACTAGGTGGTCTTTAAGGTCCCTTCCAGCCCAAACCATTCTATGATCCTCTGAACTGTGAAGACAATATTTTGTAATATGTCAGAAAAAAATATTTTGTTTTAGCTAGAGTCTTTCTTGCTCAGGTACTTGGTAAAGAAGTGTGTAGTGGGGACTGAGGCCAGTGGAGAGAGGTAATAATGGTCAACAGAAGACAATTAGGAAAGAAGATTTTTGAGGGAATGTTGCCCTGACTGGCCCTCTTGCTTTCTGGAAATCACCCCTTTACTTTTCTACGTTAAGGACTGCATCTGGTTCATCATGCTTAACTGTGTATCTTCCATGAACTTGTCCAGTCACCTTTTTATTTGTTTTATATTTCTGGCCTCCAGAACAATCCCAAGGTAGCAAGTTGTGGATTGCATTTATGTGCTGTTTGAAAAGTCCCCATCTTGTTTGTTCTCAGCCTGCTGCCTGGTTAATTCACTTGATGTCCCTTATATCGTACTGAGTAAGAAATATCAGAATTGCTCTCTTCTTTGTAATACTCATATTTTATTGTATTTTCCCTCAGTTGTCCTTCAGTATCTTAGTCTCAGGTGTTTAATTTGGCATTCATTTTGGGCAATGAATTTCCTACTCTAGAAATTTTTTCTCTTTCATGTACTGTCAGAGCAGCTGGTTCATGGGGAACACGTGTTTGATTTTGAGTCTTAGGCTTTGTGTACATAGTTGTGTACAACTGCATTAAAACACAGCTTATCAGACCAAAGATGTTAGTCCTCATCACCAGTGTATCTAGAGATCTGTTCAAACCTCAGTAATGCACCATACATAGTAAAAATAACAAAACTGTCTGTGTTCTCATTTAGTTGTTTTCACTTACGTGTGTTTTCTGGGGTTTTTTGGGTTTGATTTTTCTTTCCCAGAATTAGCCTTGAAGTTAGAACAGGTTGTTTAGACTATGAACCTATCACTTGATAATTTATTTTCTCATAGTTGAGAAAAGGGTATTTTTTGCTCTCCAGAGCTCTCCCGGGCAAAGCAGCGTGCCTGTGCCAGAGACTCCTTATATCTCTTGATTCTCTCCCAACAAGCTGCCTGTGTGATGGTCCCTTCCCCCTACGATTTTGGGGTTTGCATGTGAGTCATTGTTGACATACTGTAAGCACAGTACTGTTTCACTTAGTTCAAACGAATTGACCGAGTGTTTTAATTTCTTAGGCATGTGAAAGCTGGAACCGAGCTCACGTGGGATTATGGTTATGAAGCTGGAAGCATGCCAGAGACAGAGATTTCCTGTCAGTGTGGAGTTCAGAAGTGCAGGAAAAAAACCCTATAGGCAGAGCTTTCCTACTGTCAACACTTCATGTACCTGGAGATTTACCTGGAAGTGACTGCTACACAGTGAATAGTCCACTTAAGTCTGTGGTGCTAATTACATTCAACTAAAATGCCTTTAACATGATTGTCTTTTAAATTTACATGTAAATGTTACATTTGTAGCCTGCAGAATTAGAACTGTTTGTCATAAGAGCAGGCATCAAACTTTTCCTAGATAATTTCTGTGCTCCTAGTCTTTACCCCTGCCTTTTCTCATTCGCAAGCACAGTCCACGGTGCACTGGAAGAACTTCTGCTTCTGTGCCATCTGCAGCAGAGACATGACTGATGCAGAGCAATGGGTAGTTGATGTTTTCTGTGTCCTTCCACGATGCTGAGGTAGCAAAACTGAGCTTTCTGAAACTCATTACGAATGCAAGTCTGCCTGTTTGGGGGCTAAGAATTATTAAAATATAACTAAGCCTGATGGATCCAGTGGGACAGATAGTCTTGAGCAGAAATTAGATTAATCAGAACAGTTTTGCAGAGCTGTGTTTGTGCTACAAAGTGAGCTGGGCAAGTCCTGCTGCTGCAGGAGAGAAATTACTGTTTTTTGTCGGGTTGCATCCCCCTCCACGTTTGCGACACACCAAGTGATCCTTGAGAAAGCAAGCGTGCCTCGTTTCAGTGCCATACTGTGAGGTGTGGGACAGGTGGGCCACAAGTCCTTGCTGTGTGATTTGCTGGTAAGAGGTAAACAAGCTACATTAGATGACACTGAGTGCAGATGCAGGAGGCAGCTCTGAAATGGAGCAAGGGATGGGTGTACACGTGTGTGGCTTTTGAATATGCTGGAGCCTTGTGCAAAGAAGGTGGTGTCACCGAGAGACAACTTAGACCACTTGAAGAACCACCACCAAAAGTATCAGCAAACGCAGCTTTATTGAAGTAAGATGTTGTGAAAGCGAGACCTAAAGTTCGATGGCAAGGTTCACCCTACTACTTACTGCAGAAGATGTAATAATGATTCAGAGCTACCAATAGAAATTCTTAGTTCACTATAACACAAGGTTATGTGCGATATCAGTCACTTACCAAAGATCTGCAGCTGGTAAGAGGTCTCTCAGCCTCGAGGAGTAACCTTGAGAGGCGTCCCAGCTCGAGGGGAGCTCACGGCCTGCAGCCAGCTGCTTAGCAGGGACAGCTCAAAGGTGGCTCACACCAACCGTCCTATTTATGGAGTAAAGTGCTTGGCTCAGAGTCGCATTACCTACGATGGAAAAGGTAAGCATGAGACTCCTTGTACCCGCAACTTTCTTTGTTCCTTGATAAAAGAGTCTTGGAAGAACCACCTGCTATTCATGTGTTGATTGTGTGATTGGTGTTCCAGTTTCCAAGCCCATACGCATCGATGCTCACCGTGTCACCCTGTTCCTGGGTGGGTTTTCAGAGAACAGGTTGAAACTAGAATTTCTGGCTCCATTAAGGCAAGGCCTTTCTTTCCTTTGGAGACTAAACCAGTCACTAGTTTGGTCAAGGAGTCGAGTGCATCCATCAGTGTGGATTTGAAGCTGACCCTGCAGTTCACCTTACCTTCGCTTCCTGAATTTGTGGGAGGCAGTGCCTGGCAGATTGTGCAGAATTGTCTGTTGGTATTTGCTCAGGTATTTGCAGATTTTTGTCATTGGACTTCATGCTTTACAGAGTAGAGAGAAGTACTATTTGCAAGAGCTAGGAATGATTTAAGCAATTGTACAGGAGACTGAAACATGCCTGTGAATGAATGCCATGGCCACAGAGTAGAGATTTCAAGCCTACGGCTATACTGCAAAATGAAAAGAAAGCAGGAACCAGTTCTCAGCCCTGAGTACAAGAGGCAACGAATACCTTATGTCCACATGGCTTAGGGTTAGTCCTCTTTTAATTTGGTTTTATCTGTTGTGTAACTGAACAAACGTGGTACCTGTGGTCCAAAGCTGTTTTTTGAATTTGTTTTGGATGCCTCAAGCTTAAAAAACATGGGGTTGTGCTGCAACACCCCGTGCTCTCAAATTCCTCGAGTCTCGGCATGCATGAGGAGTTTAAGCCTGTTAAAAATAGACCTTTAACAGACCTGTGAGCCATTCTGCTTACAATGAAACCTCAGCTTTTCTCTCCCACAGCTTGCTTTGATAGCTTGACATACCCATCAAGCAACACCCCCCCTCAGCTTTTGTCCCCGTCATTGCACTACAGGTTTATGTGCGGTTTCATCATGCATCCTCCAGGTTAAACGCAGAACAGGGTTACCTCCAATGTTGGTGCAGTACAACATTGGTGCAAACCCCTTCAAAGGGTCAGAGCCACCTATTCTTGCCGTGATCAGCGCCCTCCCACCCTTCTGTCCCTGAGGATCACCACAATGTTATCAGCAGTCAGTGTTTGGTTCGGCTGCTTCTTGCTTCATTGAAGATCTGTCTCTTCTCAGAGGGAATACGCCTTAGGATAACGTTGTGCAGCGTAAAAACCCCCAGAAACGTGCCAAACTGTGTGGCAAGCCCACTGGTAACCCATCTCTGGTGTAAGCCTTTGAAATAAGTGAAGGTGCAGAAAATATTTGTCTCTTAAGTTCAACTTGAATGTGGAAAAGCAGGTGGGAATGTCATTAAAGCCTCAAGGGGGAAAAGAAAGTACATCTTATTGCTGTTGATTGTTTCCCAGATCAGTGCTAGGAATTACGGTACTGGGCTGGTGAGGAAAAGCTTTAATTCTTGCTGCAGAAAACAGACTTGATGTTTCAAAAGATAAAGCACACACTTGCTCTGTGTGGTCTGCAGCTCTCTGAGAGCCTGCTGTCAGCATGGGCTTTACAGCAGGTATGTGTACGAGGGGGTTTTTTTTTGCCTAGCTGTGTTAATCAGGTCTATCTTCAGGCTGGTGTCTCTTCATTTTCCTCTTCCACGTGAGGATATGCTAGGTACAGTGTTTGCAACCCAGCTTCTCATCCCCTCGCAGTCTGATGCTTTCGCTGCTTGTGAATCCGACGTGCCAGACCGGAGGTCACAACCTATGCTTGCAAATTTACCTTACAAGGCACGCCTTCCACCTGTTTTTGTAATTTTATTAGAATGGGTTCTGCTGAAGGTGGCTGGCAAATACCCTCCGCAGATAACGGTTGTGCCAGTTCAATAGACATTGTGAGAGTGCTCATCTGAACTTGCTCGCTGCTCAGCTGTCGGGTCCTCTGCTTGCCTTTGCACAGCTCAGGGACGGGTGTATTTCTGAACGTGGCCCATCGTGCCAACTGTGCTTTAGCAGAGTATCGTCTGGAAGAAGCGAGCACAAGCACCGATGGAAGAATAGGTGGAAATGTTCTAAGTGAAACACTCAAAAGCACCCATGGAATTACACATTTGGGACTTCTTGTCAGCCTATCAGGGATATCAAAAGAGAAGAGCAATGGGAATTCGTCACATTAGGAAGTGAAGCAGAGCTCTGGAGATGCCCCGAAATCACAGTTTCTATTGACCTACAGGGAAGCGTAGGTTCTACAGCATTGGTGGAGGACTGGCAGAGGGGAATTCTGAAACCAATTTAGGCTTTTTCAGGGTGGAACCATGTTCCTGTGAAATGGTGTCGTTCAGCCATGCTGTATGGAAATTACTGACTTTTACAGTGAGCAAGCCTGTCCCAGCGGAGGGACAGCAGGGATGTGAGGACATATAAGGGCTCCATGACCTACAGGGAAATAAATATTAGCACCCAAGGTGAGCATACAACTGCAGAGACAACCAAAGATCACCTACAGCATAGGTATAAAAAACTGGGCTGGATTGATTTTTTTTTTTTTTTTTTTTTTAAATTACCGAGCACTGATTTCCAGCTCCACTTATTTCAGCAGAACTACATGGCTGTAGAGCAGGGATTTGGAAGAAGAGATCACAAGGGATTTGCAGCTGGTTTTCCTCCACAGATAATTATTTTTTCTGTGTTGAAGAACAGACTCGTGTTAGGAAAATTTTCCTAGATTAAGATTTATGCCCCTGTGAGGGTACTTGAACCCGGTTGACTCATTTGAGTACCATCTAGATAACGGATCTGGGAATTGGTGTTGTGTAGCAGCATCTGGCTAATAGATGCAATCTAATTGCCGGCCTGGATACAAGGGCTGACCTTAGCTCTGAAATGCTGCATCTAGGCAGGCACGAAGGGATTTGGGAAGCCAGCTGGATTAACACCAGCAGTGCTGAAAAGCCAAAGCTGTTCTAGATGGTAAAGGGAACAGATCTTAAAAAGCTCCGTGTTGTGTTTGGCGTGGCCTCCCCAGGAGCCAGAGCATGCCTGTTATGTTGCGGCTGGTGAGCTGCACGGGTGTGGAAATCTTGGGTTTGTTTAATTATCCCACGCAACGCAGAGGAACTTCGTGTAGGCCTAAACCTTGGTGGTCCTCACCGGCGTGGTTTGACCTTAAGCCTCGAGTCACCGATATTCAAAGAGCTCGCAGAAACATTGCACCTCTGCGAAGCCTCGCGGCGCTGTGCGTTGTGCCGAGGCCTGCAGAGCAACGAGCTTCTCCCGCTATTGCTTACGCTTTGCTGCGAGATGCTGCTGCTCATCATCTGTTTACACAGGCGGCTGGAGGGGGTCGGCCTACGTAGGAACTCTTAGGTGGAGGCGCAAGGAACCACCAGCAAAGCCCTGCAGTGAGGAGCTGACATGGGAGGAAGCCTTATATCTCCCGCTGACGTGCGGAAAACAGACTCCACAATCTGATAGATTGTAAAGTAGGTATGTTTATTCAGCGCTGGGCACACAGGGGATCACTCCTCCTAATGTGTGCTACCATGTGGCACCGTTGCCTTAGATTTATAGAGCAAATGATTACATATTCATAATATTTCGCAATACGCCTATACATATGCATCACCTATCCCCGCTTCGTATTAAAATTAGCATTTCCATGATCTCCTCCCAGTTGAGTCTGCGCAGTGAGTTCCTTTGGTCCTGGGCAGGGGTCGTGAAGGACTGGGCGGTGCTCGTGGGAGGAAGTATCTCCTCTTCCTCAGTGCTGAACTTTTCACCCCGAATTCCTGCGCAGTCTCTGTCACCCCCCGGACCCGCAGAGCAGGTTTGTGCTGGTTGTGGGGTAATCTTCACTTACTCAGGGGTGGAGGAGGCTTTTTACTTAAACAGGAGATCGTGGTCGATCAACACAAACATCTTCACTTACTCAGGGGTGGAGGAGGTTTTTTACTTAAACAGGAGATAGTGGTCGAGCAACACAAACACCTCGGAGGTTTTTTACTTAAACAGGAGATAGTGGTCGAGCAACACAAACACCTCGTACAAGCTAGGCAAACTCTTATCTCGACTATTTCCCTCCTCATCCCCTTCTTGCTATTCCCATATTAACCCTTACATCCCCTGTTCCTATCTAGGCCCTGTATCACCGCTGCCCAAGGACAAGCCTGTCTTTGACCTCCTGAACAAGGAAACTGCTGACCAGTGGCACTGGGGTAGTCGGGTCCATCGTGCGCTGGACCGCGCTGGCTGGGTATGAAGCCAGTGCGCTGCAGGCACCTCTAACGTGGAGGGACGGGCTGACCACAGAGCCCGATGGCTGCGGGAGGCTCGCCACCTCGTCCTGGCCCTTCCTGCCCATCGCTCGAATCGGCTGCTCGGTCAGGCGTCAGCCCCACCGCCGGTCACCGATCCCAACCTCCCCCTTTGCACCAGGCCCCTCGCCCTGGCCCGCCTGGTTAAGGGCTGTGCAGAGATGAAGGCGGGGGCGATGGGAGGATGCAGGATTTCCCCCTTCCCCGCGGGGAAACCCCCCCCCCCCCACCTTGGGAAATGGCCGCGCGTGGGAGGCCACGGGGGGTTACCGGGCGCGGGGATCGAACCCTCGGCACTCCCAGAGGCGCCAGGGTAGGTCCCTCACCACGTGACCGACGGAGAGGCGGGGCGCCTCCCCCCCTTTCCTTCCCGGCGCAGCCAGTTAGCGTCACGCTGGGTGCACCACGTGGAGCCCGCCTCCCCCCGCCCCTTTCCCCTCACTGAGCATGCTCCGTGCCGCCTCTGGGCACGCCCACTTCCGCGCGGGAGAGTTGGGAAGGGGGGGGGGGGAGGGGGGGCGGTGAGCGGGCGCGGAAGCGGCGCCGGGCCGGGCCAGGGGGGACGGGGGTGGGCGGTTCCCGCCGCCCCGCGGTAAGTCACTGCGGCAACGTGGGGAGGGGGGGGACTGGGGCCACCCCGTGTCCGGTGCCCCCTCGGCGCCCGCTTCCCCTCCCCCGGGCTCTCCGTGAATGGGCCCAGCTGGATCCCGGAGGAGGGGGGGAAGCGCTGTGAGGGCGGCCCCGGGTTTTCCCTCAGCGGCGCTGGCCCTTGTCTCGGAGGCAAACCGCGACCCGGGCCGCCTCATCCCGGGGCTGCTCTGCTTCCCCCCTCGCTGCCTCAGGAGGCTCGGGGCCGAGGTAGGCCCGGCTAGGTGGCAACTCGCCCCCGTAGGCCTCGAAGCCCCGGGGGCGTGAAGGGAAGGCAGCTCAGCGGGTCCCGTCCCAGCCCCACCTCAGCGCCCGGTTGTCCAGATCGGTGGAGGGTCGATTTGCATCCTTCTTCCCGAAGTTCTTGCCCTTTGGCACTTGGTAATCATAGTAAGGTGGGAACGGTTAGTCTCTTTGAAATGACACTGTTGTGTTTAAAATGCTGGTGGTGGCGTGTCAGTAGAGGGTGAGGTGTTACTCTCTGAAGTGCAGTGTGAAGGGAGCGATTGAGGACCTCCAACAATAGAAGCACAAACATCTCCCTCCTCAAATACTGTGTCCGGCTCTGGGGTCCCCACTTCAAGACAGATGTGGACCTGGAGAGGGTCCAGAGGAAGACCATGAGAATGATCAGAAAACCAGGACGCCTCTCCTGTGAAGAAAGGCTGAAAGAGTTGGGGTTGTTCAGCCTGAAGAAGAGAAGGTTCCGGGCAGACCTTCTGTGGCCTTTTAATATATAAAGCAGAGATCTGAGAAAGCCTGATACTTTTTCACAGGCCCTGTTGTGACAAGAAAGGGGCAACAGTTTTAAACTGAAAGAGGATAGGTTTAGATTGGACATAAGGAAGACAGATTTTATGATGAAGGTGGTGAGACCCTGGCCCAGGTTACCCAGAGAAGTGGTGGATGTCCACTCCCTGGAAGTGTTCAAGGCCACATTGGATGAGGCTCTGAGCAACCTGGTCTAGTGGAAGGTGTCCCTGTGTTGGACTAGATGATCTTCAAAGGCCCCTTCCAACCCCAACCTTTCTATGATTCTATAATCTTGTGAATAGGTGAGAGTTTAGATCTAATGAGGAACCCTCCAGTCACCCCCATCATTTGGATCAGATGTGATAACATATAGCTTTCTAAAGAAAATATTTTTTTAATATTCTTTAAACTATTTCCCTTGTAGCAGTGAAAGGTGATTGGAAAGAGAGATTTATTTGGATTTGTTCTGAAATCCTTACAAAGACTGGGTGTGTTTATACTGCTAATGAGTTGGGGGAGAATGAGAAGGGGGTTTGTGTAGGTCGTGCCCAGCTAATAGATGACCAGCAGTGCTTCTTTCCCCACAAAGTGCAAATGGAGGACACAGTGAGTGGGGGCTAACAGGCATGTAATTTCCTTCCTTCTCCATACTTCAGTAGATCAAATCCTTCACTATACTGGGGTGAAGAGCGGAACAGGATCTGGGGCAGTGGATTTCTGTAGCATGCTGGAAGTTGGGGACTTGGGTTGTTTTCCTTACTCCCCTACAGCTATGCTGAGTGACATTCTGTGCCTTAGTTTCCTCCTGTGTAAAATATGTGCAAGGAAACTTTCAGAATTGGATCTGGGGAGGAAATACTTGGATGAACTGGTAATGTTTCATCGAGGTGTATTTGGAAGTGGTGCGATCCCTGTGCAATTGCCAACAATGTTTCTGTCCCTTTTTACTTTCTGTTTTGTTTCCCGTGCTCTTCCATTTTGTCACTGCAAAAAAAAAAAAAAAAAACAAGCCCAAACCTGCTTCTATGAAACAGCACAGGTACCAGAGCAGCAGCCAGAGGCACATGACTGTTTCTTTCCCTCAGCTGCTTCTCCTTTGTCTTCCATTTTGCAGCTTCATTTGCTCTGTGGAGAGCAGTGGAAGGTCCTCCAGATGAATTAGTCGCCTTAGGTTCCCAGAGTCTGTTTCTGTGGCAGTGAAAGTGAAAGCTGTCTGTGAAGAGTTGTAGAAGGACTTTGTGACAGTGAATGATTTGACTATAAAATAGCAGGTGAAAGTCCAGCATTGATAAGTGAAAAATTACGGATGTGTCAGAGCAACAATCATTACGCTGATGCCCTCCATGCTGATACCATTTAGGAAAGAGGTCTGGGGAACTGTACTGCATAGTTCTATGAAAGTGTTGGCTCCATGCTCAGAAGCGGTCTAAAATGTGATTGAAGTATTAAGAATCATTAAGAGAAAAATATGGAGCACCGTTGTGACTTTGTACTGTAAATGGTAGCCCGCCTTTTTGAAAGAACATAGCAGGAGCAGAGATTGAGAAGTGACGGGGATGATCAAAGGTGTGAAGCAGCTTCTGTACAAGGAACAATTAAACAGTTTCAGATTCTTCAACTTGAAAAAGAGACAGTATGAGAAAGAATAACAGATCTGTGCTGTCACAAGTGTTATTGGAGGAGTTGAGTAAGGAACAACGATTTCTTGCCTTTTCAGGCAGTTCCTGGGGTGTCAGATGGAATCTGTGAGCAACAGGCTTAAGACCTGCAAAAGCAAGGGGTTGTTTAGGTGAAATGTAATTAAACTATGGAACTGGAAACATGCCCTTAGCCACTCCCTTCTCACTTGAGAACAGCCAGCCGGTTCCATTGCCTCATTTAGCTCAGTATTCTTTCTCTGGCAGTAATCTGTAGCAGAAAGCTAGGGAAGAGCACAGGGCCAAAGCAGCACTCCTGTGGGGGACAGAATACTGAGCTAAATGGAGCAAGGGGTGCAGTCTGGCTGCTTGTGCAGTGAGAAATGGCCAAGAGCTGTCCTTCCACCATTTCAGGGTTACTGCAAAGGTGCTGGAATAACTCCAAGACTGACCTTGACCCAAGTGTCCTCTGTTTTTCTGCAGCACCAGGATTTCTCCTCAGCCTGTAAGAATACCAAGGACTGTAGACTCCACCTTCAGCCTCTCCCTCACGAAATTCCCAGAGCCCTCAGAGCTGGATCCTCTGACTGGGCCTGAGCAGGGCCTATGTATCTGCATCAATTCCAGGTAGTAGCTTGCTGCAGAGAACTTTTCCTGAGTTCTGAGTCATTCAGACTCTAGCTCGGTTTTTTTTTTTTTTTCATCATTGTTTTCTATTCTATTTCTAATATTTTTGTATGTTTCTATTTGTTTCTATCATGTTTATTTAATGCTTAAATTCTGAGACTGATGTGATAGTCACTGTATAGATGAGTATTGGAAATCAGGCCCTACCCTGCCTCGCTTACAAGAGATAGAAGGATGGAGGTAAAAAGCAAGATGTGTGTGGAGGCAAAGTGACTTGCTGTGATTAAGTAGATTCTCAGTGGCAGAGCCAGACGGGGGGAAAAGAAAAAAAAAAATCCCATTCTATTCTGGTGGTGTTCTCACTTGAGACTACCCCCTCCGTTTTATGGAAGGGAGGTGGGAACTAGTGAAAACAAGAGGTTGTGTCATGGTTTCACCCCAGAGGGCAACTGAGCACCTGTCAGCTAGCTGCTTACTCACCCCTTCCCCCTCAGAAATGGGAAGAGGAAAATAAAGCAAAAGGCTTGGGAATTGAGATAGGGACAGGGAGGGATGACTCGCCTATTATGGTCACAGTCAAAAAGACAGGACTCATCAGGAGATGAAAAAAACCCATCAATTTAATTCAAACACCACTACCACTTAACAGAGTAGGGCAGTGGGAAGTATAACCATATTTTAGAAAGACCTTCCCCCACCCCTCCCTTCTTCCCAGGCTCAGCTTGGCTCCTAATTTCTCTACGTCCTCCCCTCCCATGGTGCAGGAGGGGCAGGGGTTGGGGAGGTGCAGTCAGTCCCTTACACTCCTTCCTCCTCAGGGGGAGGACTCCTCACACTCCTCCCCTGCTCCAGCATGGGCTCCTCCCACAGGATACAGTCCTCCATGAACTTTCTCTGACATGAGTCCTTCCCACGAGCTGCAGCTCTTCCCAAACTGCTCCAGTGCGGCTCCCTCCTGCGTGTTGCAGTCCTCCCAGCGCTGAACTGCAACAGCCCACAGAATCCCAGCCTTCTTTGGGTGCAGTCACTTGCTCTGACATGGGGTCCTCCATGGGCTGCAGGTGGATATCTGCTCCACCGTGGACCTTCACGGGCTGCAGGGGGACAGCCCTGCCCTCTCAACACAAGCTGCAGGGGACTCTGCTCCAGTACACCTCCACCACACCCTCCCACCACCTTTCTTCCACTGACCTTTGTGTTTAAATAGGCGTGTCCCTCACCCTTCCCACTTCTCCCAAATTCCCCTTCTTAAACACATTATCGTGGAGGCGTGGCCACCATCACTAATTGGCTTGGCCTTGGTGCAGAGGCAGGTCTGGTTTAGAGCTGAGGGAGCTTCTAGCAGCTTCTCACAAGGGCCAACCCTGTATCCCCCTTGCCTGATACCAAAACACCTGCCACACATACACAAACCCAAAACAAGTTGGCTGTTAAAAGCCACAGAAAGGTTGTAAGTTGTGCTGGACTCTGAGATTTCCTGCCTGTTTAATGCTTGGACCTTACTGCCTCTCACTAGAATAATTTAACTTCAGATCTTCTTATTTCTTGAAAGTAAAAGCAGACTTTTCTTATCCTGTGGGAATTTGTGCTGTCGGAGGGGATGTCTCCAGCAAAGGACAGTTTAACCTAGTAGGAGTGGGAAATTGTAGAAGATTTCTGCGGTGGACTTGCGCAGGAGCCACAAAGTAAAACTTTTGCTGCTAATGTGTGGCGTGATGCTCTAAACTGCTGGTGAAGGATGTGGGTAAAGGCTTATACGGAAGCATTTAGACTGTTTTGTGAAATAAGTAGCTGGTCTTAAAATCTTGCAGCTGCTGGGGGAAAAGAAAGACTGTGAAGCAGAACAATTAAGACTTGAGTGGATATGGCCAAGAAAAGAGAACAGATGTACATGGGGCAAATCTCGGGCTATAAAGAGAATTATGCCACTCGTCCCACCTCATTGAGAGGGAATGTTCAAATACCTTGTTTCTGACTGTCTTCTGCCCTTTTTTATTTGCAAGCCTCTCGTCGTCCTGGTTTGAGTCCAGAGGGCGGCTGCTTGCTCACCCCTTCCCCCTCAGGGATGGGAAGGGGAAAATAAAGCAAAAGGCCCGAAACTGAGACAAGGACAGGAAGAGACGAGTCACCCATTATGGTCACGGGCAAAAAACAGACTTGTTAGGAGAAGAAAAAGAACATCAATGTAATTCAGACAGTAACAGCAGCAACAATTAACAGACAGAGTAGGACAGTGAGAAGCATTACCACATCTTAAAAATATCTTCCCCAACCCCCTTCCTTTCTTCCTGGTCTCAGCTTTGCTCTTGATTTCTCTACCTTCTCCCTCCAGCAGCCTAGGGAGCAGGGAATTGGGGAGGAGGTGCAGTTAGTCCTGCTGCTCCTTTCTCCTCAGGGGGAGAACTCTTCCCATTCTTCCCCTGCTCCAGCGTGGAGTCCCTCCCACAGGAGGCAGTCCTCCACGAGCTTTCTCTGATGTGAGTCCCTCCCAGGGGCTGCAGCTGTTCCCGAGGTGCTCTGGTGTGGGACACCCCCATGTATTGCAGTCTTCCCAGCTCTGAACTACAACAGCGGGGGCTTCTTTCCTGAAAGTCCCGGCCTTCTTTGGGCTCACTCACATGTTCTGGTGTGTGGTCCTCCACAAGCTGCAGGTGGGCATCTGCTCCACCGCTGGACCTCCATGGGTGGCGAGGGGGCAGCCCTGCCCTTTCACCATGTGCTGCAGGGGAGTCTCTGCTCCAGCACACCTTCCCCCTCCCCCCCAGCCTTCCTCCTTTCTTCCATTGACCCCAGTGTTCACAGAAGTCTCTTCTTTCCAGGTTCCCCTTCTTAAATACATTATTGCAGAGGCTTGGCCAGAATCGCTAATTGGCTCGGCCTTGGCGCAGAGGCAGGTCTGATTTGGAGCCAGGGAAACTTTGAGAAGCTTCTCACAGGGGGCCATCTCTGAAACCCCCAGCCATACACACAAACGCAGCACATTCCAACCCTCACCTCTGTGAATCACATATTTAAGAATTGTCATGAAAATCCACGTTCATTACACAAGACAGTATTCACAAGCTTCATTCACATCAACGTACCAAAAAAAAAAAACAAACCACAAACCCTTCCCCACACTAAACTAAGAATAATATCATCACAATAGTGAAACACAATCCACACATTCCACCTCTTGTCCCTCCACCACAGTTGCAACAACAGAAAGTCTCATGGTCATTCTGCTAACGGAGTTCAGACCAGACCCTGCTTTGCCAGTTTCCTTTCCCTATTACTATCCTTATCTTGAATTCCTCTGCCCCACTTGGGCAACACAGAGTATTGTCAGGACTGTCCTGGCTTGAGCCCAGAAGGCAACTGAGCACCAAGCAGCTGCTGGCTTGCCCCTTCCCTCCCTCGGGCAAAGAGAAAACACAACAAAAGGCTCAGGAATGATGAATAGGGAGGGATGACTCACACCTTATGGCCATGGGCAATCCACAGACTCATTAGGGGAAGAAAAAACCCCACCCCATACACAAACCCAAAACACCTCTCCATGCTTCACTGCTACATCCTTGTTACAGGAAGGAATTAGTGTTTTTTTCCTTGTTTTCTGTGAGCTGGAAGGCACTGGAGAAGTTTGGAGGCAGCTGTTTTTCTCTCCTCAGTTGACTTGCAGACCCACACGGGACAGAACTAGCTTAAGGAGAGCACTGCTATGAATGATGGACCTCCTCCAAAGAAAAAGGGGTTTCACATCTAGGGCATGACTTGCTAGCTTGCTCTTGGGCCTGTTGTTGGAGCAGATGCTGCCAAGCAAGCTTGAAAACTCTTGTCCTTATGACTTGTTAGTGACTTTCCAAGAGGAAAGAAACCAGTTTTCCTCCTGCCCTAAGTGCTGGAGCTTCTGGGAATTGATTTCCACCCCACCGCTCTCCCAAGAGCAGGCTTTGCCTATTCTAATAGTTGTTCCTGGAGGAGCAAAGCACCAAGGTTCAGGGGATGTAGGTGAAGGAGCAGTTAGAGGACAAGTGCTAGCAAGTTCTGCTTTCCTCTGTTTGTCCTGCTTGACATATAATAGCTGCATGAATTGCTTTGTGTTTTGTCCCAGTTTTCCTGCTCTAGGTGTTTTCTGGATAATGGCGAAGATGGTGAGAAGAACGTGTGCATTTTGTTCAGAAGGGGAGGCAGGTTCTGTAATGTACATTGCCAAAGAGCGAAATATTGCAGCTCATCAGGATTGTCTGGTGAGTGGCTTTTTAGTTGGTCGGTACATACAAGGAATGGAGAAGAGGGGTTAAAGGGGAAGATTCCAGCGCTTCTCTATTTTTGACTCTACAGTGGTGTCTGAATTAAAAGGTTGGTTACCCACACCAGCAAGCTTATATTAGATTGGAAAGCAACAGGGCTCGGCCAGAATTTTGGAGAGGGGGGTCGACATGGCTGCACAGCTGGACACCTTGATTTGTCATGTTTTCATGTGTGTCTGTTCCTGATCCACAGTTCTAGACACACATCCAGTCTAGCAGTAGGAATAGGTCTTCTTGAGACACTAAACTGGGTGAGGCTTCTCAGACCACAGAAAATTGCATATTTACTTAAAACTTTGCAGGAAAATATTCGCATCACTTGATATATCAAGGTAAAAAACTCCCCAGTCTGTGCCTTTATATAAAGTGAGGAATAAAAATATCAGAAGTTATATGAAAATATCTGTGAAGCTCTAAAGCGTGCTGTGATCCTAGGATATATTTACTCTTCTTGCTGTCAGAATGCCTTCCCTTTATTCTGACATCTTAGTGGAGCTGGTTCTTGGTGTGCAGAGTCAATTACAGATCCATATTCTCTGTTCATCGAGGGTCGCTTAGCACAGAAGATGCAGCTGCTGCTGGAACAGCTTTTTTGGCTCCTCATTGTTTCAGCCTTCTTGTTCTCGCAGGTTTTCTATTTAAATCTTCATTTTTCTACTTTTGTTTTTTTTTTTTTCCTTTTCTAGTAGCTGAATGTTTCAGAAACGTCTGATACTTGTTTTACAGTGTTACTTGGGTGTTTTGTTAGGGCTATAATGTTGCTTCAGTGTTGCAGTAACTTTACTAGTTTCTCTGCCTTAGGCTTTTCTGCACTGTTTGGCTCTTTTGCAGTTAGCTGCTACCATCTTCTGAGCGGGCAGACTGTGCCTGGCAGTTAACATAAGGGTAGCTCACTTTTGTTTGGAATTAGCTATATATGATGATCAGAAAAAAGTCGCTAAGAACTTCCCCTTCCTCACTTATTGTCACCGCAGTTCTGTGGGAATTCAAGTGGCCCCAGTGTGCATGGGTACATGTTTTGTGGGTTGCTCCCGGGCTCTGTACAATGTTCCTGTGTTTCTCATGCAGTCAGTTGTTCTCGGCATTGGACTGTATGGAAATTTTATTACAGAGAAATGTTGCATCCAGCAGTTGGTTAGATAACAGGATGTTCACGGTGTGGAGGTCTGTCAGATGAAGCGCTTCTCCTCCTTACTCTGGGCAGCCTGGACTTCCAGACATTCTTAATTCACACTTCTTACTAAGTTCACTTTCTTACCTTGTTATCTTCTCTCGGTGCACCTTCAAGTCATGTGAAATCTCCTATATAGACAGAGGAACTTTTGACTCTGAAAAGGTTTAAGCATAGCTCCCCGTTCAGTGTAGGTGAAACCTCTTAAAAACAGAGAAAAATCAGCCTTCTTAGGTAGGGCAAGTGCAAGAAGAAAAGATGTACCCTTCCTCTCTTTTCTGCACTGGTGACTGAGTCCCTCTCTTCATGATACTGTCTCGTTTGTCTTTAGTTATTTTCCTCAGGATTTGTGGAATCTGAAGAGTATAACCCAGATAATCTGGATATACGGTTTGATGTGGCATCAGTGTTGAAAGAGCTCAAGAGGGGAAAGCGGCTGGTAAGAATTTTCTTTCTGAATCTGCACTTAATCCTATCTCATAGTGCTGAAGGTTGTCCAGGCTGTTTTATGCTTGGGAAAAAATGCAGAAAAGTACTTGGTCCTTCTGATCCACTAAGGTTAAGGAAATTACAGCTGTAGAGTTAGAAACATTGATTTGACATTACAGTTGGTGAAATTTAGTTCATTTTGTATTAAAATGTGTTGTTTTTTCCTGGCCTTTAAGTCCTTAGTCTAAGTTTCCTAGGAGAATTTGGTAAAGGGCTAAGCCAATGCCTGAAACAAAGTTATGTAATTCATAAGTGTAAAGGGAAAGGCCTTCTGGTGTTAGCAGAAGGAAGGTTATTTATCGGAGGTTTTCTTATTGGCTTTGTCTCTGGCTGCCCTTCGACCTTACGTACTGGGTGGAACGCTTTTCATTACAAAGTTAGCCTTGAAAACGTAAATACACTAATACCAGTAGGGACTGAAATAATTTGGGCAAGATTTAAGGGAGGGGGAGAAGTTTCCAGGTGTCCTCACATGGCTCGTGGCATCATTTTACAAATTCATCAGTATGAAATAGAGGTAAGATAGCAAAAAGGCGGCTGAAATAAAGACCAAGGTAGGAGTTTTCAGGAGTGAACTTGCCTGATGAATTATACAGAGGCAACCTGCCAGAAAAGATTTGATTCTCCCACAGGGGATAGTATTTGCCTTGTCTGGCAAGATCCTCAGTAGCTGTCCGTAATGCTTACCTGCTAAACCCCGTCCTGTTCTAGGTGTGCAACTTCTGTCGCAAGAAAGGAGCCACTGTGGGATGCGAGGAAAGAGCTTGTCGCAGAAGTTACCACTACTTCTGTGCGCTGTGCGATGATGCAGCCATAGAAACGGATGAAGTAAATGGAGTCTACCGGTATTTAACCAAGTACTTTCTAACTAATTATTGTCAAGGGCTTGGGGGCAGTGTCAGGAAGGGCGACCTAAAAATTGTGCGGTTTTAAAAGTTTTTTAAAAAGCAAGTACGCTCACCTCTCTTAAAGTGATGCTCAATCCTCTGTTCACGAGCAATGGGGAAAATGTTTTCCTTCCACGGGAAAACATCACAGCCGGGGGAAGAAACCTGTTCAGTGTTTGAGCCTGCAACACTCCTGAAAGATCACTAAGCCAAACCCAGGGAAGCCAGTCCTTACTATCTAGCTAGCTAGTCTTCGAGGACCAAGATTTTTATGAATGTCACTCAAATTCTTAAGTTCTGTTGGTTCAGAAGCTTCAGTAAATGTGGTTTGAGCACAGAGCAGGCTATAGCACTTCTGGATCTGCTCACGTTAGGCAAATTCTGGTAATTTTCCCTCCGTATGCTAGCAGAGAACTTTGTATTCCCAACAAGACCTTCTTGTATTTCAAGTACGTGCTAGCATTAACACAATTAAACAGAGTTAAATTTTCTGTCCTGATCATGCTAGTCTTGGTGTCTGCTGCCCTTGGGCTGCCTGCGTTGCCATTAGTAGATGGAACGAGTTGCTTGGAGGATGCAGATGAGGGGATTTTGAAATTGGGACTTTAGGGACCTTTTGAAGTGCTGGATGAAGTCTGTGGTGCATAAAACCCCCAGTGGCCATTTCTGTGCAAGGCCAGAGAGATCACAGGCCACATCAGTCTTAGATTAATCTGGCAGACCATCGCATCACAACTTGTTTCAGGAAGGGGTGGACTAGTGCAGTCCTTAGAAGCAGTGAAGGAAAGATGGGTCCTTTTGTGTCAAAACACTTGCACTCCTGGCTGCTTCACTAGGGCTCTCAGACCAAAATAAATAGGTCTTTCTTCAAGGCTGTAAGCCCAGCTGTATAGAGAAGATGATATGTTTAGTTTATGCTTATAATGTCTTTGGGAGTCCGCAAAGCTCATGGAAGAGTGTAGCTGGGAAGATGGAAACTCTCTGGGATCACAGAATAAATGGCTCTCATCATACAGCTTTAGAAAGGATACTTTGAGCTGAGGAAGACCGAACTCCTCAAGATGTTGAAAAATGAGCGGGACTGCTAACAGCCTAGATACAAAGAAGCGGTTGAATATATGGTTTGATTTGGTGGTTTTCTGAACAGATGACCTTGGAGGTTTGGAAGAGGGACCCTTAAAAGTGCCTCGCATTAAGTCGCTGTGTGCGACTAGTTGCTTCTCTTAGATAGGAACTATAGGAAACTAGGCTATAGCAACCTGTACTGAAAAGATAAAAAAGGACTGTGTGAGAGAAAGGCAGTGAGGCCGGTTTCAACGGTTTGAACCCAAAGACTTATGCATAGTATCTGTGGCATAAATAAATCACAGAATTTGTAGCTAGCTTGTATTTATTGGAGAGAAGAGGAGCAAGACTTGAAAAACAATGGACATGGATTGACAGCGCACCCCCCTGCACTTTTTCATGGTGAAATAAAACATTTGGAAAATCATATCAAAAGAGATAATTCCTTCAAGAGAGAGAGAGAAAGATGGTGTTTTTAAATCCTGAGTTGCCATCATGATGATCAGCAGTGACTATCAAAACAAATAGAGCAGAACAAAAAAGAGAAAGCGTAGAGTGCTGTGGAAGTGGCTGGTAAGATTAGAGGTTGGGAAAGAAGTGTAAGTTGTACTGCCATCTTTCAAAAATTATAGTAAGGAAGTGCTTCTAAATAAACTGGCCTGTGTAGTAAAACGTATTGTCTATTCTTTATAAGATGTTCTTGTACTTAGGAAGGTTGTTTTTAATTGAGAAAGAATAGAATCAAAGGGAGGGGAGGAAAAAACCAACCTCCCAAGGTCAACATTAGAAATTCAGGGATGTAAATAAGGTGCCTCCAGTACTTAGTTTTCTGATTGAATTGTTAGGAACGCATAAATCTTTTTTTTTTTTGTGCATTAAAATGCATTTCATGCAAAAAAGCTGGCTCATCAAGGAAACAGACTGCATTTCTAAGGTCAGTGCTTCTATTTTGTTAAAATAAAAGAATGACAGTAATTAGAAAATGTCGTAGTAGATGCAGTTCCCTTTAAAAATTGCTTCCAAACACCTGAGCGTTAGTCTTAGCAAACAGATTTGTGATTCAGAGATCCGCTAACCATACTCCTGAGGAGGCAACTTTGCTTAAAAAGTGATTTGGGATCCTTCTGTAAGAAAGGCATATTATAGAAGCTGGTTCACGTTCTTTGTACATTATTGTATCCAGAATAAGGAGTATTTCCAGCTGTATTTGTTGCATTTTGCCTCTTCCAAGGAATTCACATTGCTCTCCTAGAGCCAGAGAAAATAGTCCCATCTCTCATGTTACTGAAGGCTTTGAGGGACGAATGGACTGAGGAGCTTTAAGCTGCTGGGTCTCAAACAGGGTGCCCTGCTTCGTCAGGATTTGGGGACTGGGCAGCAGAAGGGGAGGGGCACGGAGATCGCCGAGCAAGTAACTGGTACCGTGCGCGGCGGTGCCGTGCCACGTGGCTGTGCCAGCGGGTCAGGCAGGGCTGATAAATTCAAGCTGACTGGTGAGCTGTGTCTGAAGAGGCTCCGGACCTGGCCTGAGCGGGGCAGGGCAAGGGGGCAGAACTGCAGTAGCTGTGATCAAGCAATGTTAGTGCTGGGGTATTTCGTCTTGGCGGCATTAATCTCGCTGTAATCAGGCATTGCGATAAGAGTACCTCTGCCACCGTGACTGCCACGTCAGATGAAACGTGCCTGGCTCAGCATCTGAACATTGAGGAAGTCCAAACAGAGTGGGGTAATGGGACTGTTAATACAAAGCTTCAGTGTTGAGAGTCCTCTGGGGCTCTAACGGTACAGATACAAGCTCGTGCATGTATGTGACTTTATAGCTGGTGCTTTCCTAGATGGGTAATGCTGAACAACAATTCTGATAATTTTTTCTAAGTGTCTTTCAGTTTACATTCAATGAAAAGAGGGGAAAATATCCGTTAAAATCAGTCAGCATAACTCTGTTTACATACTTATTAATACTTTTTCTCTTTTTCTTACAATTGAACTTAAATTTTAGAGTGTTCTGCCCAAAACATGACCCAGGCAATAGGACCAATCACTATGGTGAGTTTCTTTCATGGCTTCGTTGATTTCATTTGTTTTAAAAGTTTGCATCCTACAGTCAATAACTTGTTTGAACAAAATAAATGTTACTCCACCTTTATATTGCGTGGTGGATTTCTAATCTTGCAGGAGTGGTTTGGCTGAGCTCCATGCGTGTGCACAAAAATCAAGATTTTTTGAAGTAGGAAATGTTTATATTTGATCTTCCCTGAATTTCTCTTAAAAGTGACTTAAAACACTGTGGACCTGAACCTTCATGGTATCATTCTGACTCTGTGGGCAGATAGGCCCAAGCAGCTTGTAAAATCCATGTGAGATGCACATGCTTGCACCTGATTAGCAAAGAGAAGGCTGTTAGAGGAGTGGTCACCTTGGAATTTTTGTCTGTAGTTACATTAAGATGTTCACGTTTGCACTTTCTGTATTCAGTGCAGTGATTTTTTTTAATAGAGCCTTTTATTCTGAAGGATCCCAAAATGCTTTTTAAGTGTAGCAAGAGGGTTATACAACCCCTGTTTAAGAATTGCTTCCTTTGCTACAGAAATGGAGCTTAATTTGACAGTCCTGCTCCTTGCTGATTCAGAGGTAGTCAGAAATCTCACTGAACAGCCAACCAAAGCTGTGACTTTGTTAAGGTAATTCATACAGTCCTGCTCCAAACAGAGTGGGTTCTAGGCTGGCCCTCACATTGAAGTTAAGCTCAGTCAAACCGTGAGTACTCATGCTGAGAGTGGTGTGCTCCCGCTGAAGTCTAGCCAACTTTGGCTAATCTTCTTGACAAAGACTGGCTCCACCCTGATGTCACTCAGGGGGGTGGGTTAGGTGACCATCATTTAAACTTTTAGTCATAGGGTCTGAGGCTTCTTGGCCAGACGTACAGCCCATTTAACACCTGATACTGCTGTGTTTCACTAACCAAATGCAGCTTCCTATTACACTTCACAGTTTTGCTTTTTATTCGGCTGTACTCCTGGGGCTTGACATCCCCTCTCTTTTTAAAATTAATTTGCTTTCTGTTGTCTGATGGTTGTCAGTCTGTTGGGTCTGTCCAGACAGTCTCCTGCCCAAGTACCAGAGAGGGCCAGGATTGCTTTTGTCTCCAGTGTGAGATGAGATGAAGGCATTAGGCCCAGCCCCTGTGGACCACCTCCTTCACAAGGAAGGCTTGAATCTTAGGAGGTTGAAGGTCTTAGTGTCTTCAAGTGCTGCATACACAATGTATGGCCTGTTCCTGAGAAGAGAGTTTTCTCCTAGAGGAAATCTTCCAGAGGCACTTAATTTGGAGACCCTCCGTTTACGAGGAGTGGATGGATTCTGCTGGCAGTGTCTGCCCTGCCCCCTGAAAGTCTGTCCCCCATTCTGTCTGAGAGAGTAGCTGTACCCCCAGGAGGTGGGGAGCCACTGTGAGAGTTGGGTAAATGACACTTAGTTCCCCAAGCCCGACGTCTCCTGCCTCCGAGCAGCTCTCGGTTGCACCCGTGGCACTCACAGTAGCCAGGGGTGTCTGCTGGGGAGCTGGCTGGAGCGGCAGGCGCTCTGATCCACTCCTGGCCCATCCGGGCAGGCAAGGGGAACGCCAGCACCGAGTGTGCCACCAGGTCTGCACCGGGTGGGGAGAGGGACAAGGCTGGGATGGAAGCACTGTGGCTCCGTGGTAGAGTTTTGACTTTCAGGATCCAACTCAGCTGAAGTAGCTCAGCTGTTCCTCTGGGGCAGGCTGAGCCGGCGCTGGGCTGCGTGGGAGCGGCAGCTGATATGAAAGGGCTGCCTCTCCAGGCTTGTTTTTCCCCGTAGCTTGGAGAAAATGGGGTCAAGGAACAGCCCCCTTGTTCTTGGCCCAAACAACATTCCTGTGCTGAAATGTCAGGGCTCTGCTGTGTGACTGGAAGGGGATAGTGTGCCTTGGGGGCTAAGACGTCTCCTTGCAGCTCTGTGCAGCAGGGATGGGAGGGCAGTTTGGACTTGGAAACAGGCTCAAACTTCTGCTTAACTGGAAATGTTGGATGTTCCCAGAGTAAAGGCTGACAAACACAGAAGAATGAAGAACACTGTGGGGAGCAGGAAGAGTTGGGCTGCTTTTTGGACTGTGTTCCTCTTGTTTTAGAAGGCATCCCCCATTTTGCAGAGATCTCATACCATGTCACTCAAACCACTTTGTAGCATAAATAATATTAAACTTACAAGTCAGATTGCTTCTGGAGGCCATTTGTGTGTCTTTGGGACACCTAAAATAATTCTTTACATAGTCTTAGTTTTGAGAGTGTGTTATCATAAATAAGAATTGACTGAAAAAACCCAGTCATCTTAAACTTTCCTGAAGTTTTTACCACCTGGAGGTAGTGCTGCTGCTGGAGAGAATGAGTTCACTCTGCTGCAATAAAAAAATCTTATGTTCAGAACTAAGGTTTGCTTTATACTGAGTTTAAAAGGCAAAGTGATATCCTAATGCTACAGAGATTTGCAGTTCTTCCTAATGGTCCAGACCTGTAATTTTTCTTATATGGGAATAATGTAAATTCCACTGAAATGTCATGTTGGGGGGGGGGGGGGGGGGGGAAGCTGAAGCATACTCTTGCCTTGCCATCCAAAGTGCTTCACTTTTGTAGCTTTTTGGGAGAAGAGAGAATGTGAATGATGTGAAATCGCCGGTCTGAGACTGACACATTTGTAACTTTGTTGTTTCCTGATTCCTAGATGCAGCTAGTAAGAGGAGAAGACATGAATTGAAATCTTCCACTCTCACGGAGCAAATGGTAATTCTGAATTTGAGTAGTTCTAAAACAGGAACCCCCACCTGCTACATCAAAGGACTTTGTTAGTGAGGTATTTTGACTATGTATTCAGCAGAGTCTTCCTCACAGAAGCAATAACTTTTCCTTCACAGCTGCCTTGTTTTGATCTTGTCGCTCTGTCAAAACAAAACTGTTTGCATTTGGAGCTGCTTCAGGCAGAGCCAACGCTGCCCTTGGGTAACCTGGCACAAATGTGATAGGAGCCTCCCAACCAGGCTGGCTCGGTGGCTGTGATCTTGACATGACCAGAAAAAGCTTCCCCCCCGGGGGCTCCTTTTCTTTGAAAGTACGACATCCCTCAGATTTACTTAGGGCTTGACACAGCCGCCATGAAAAACTGCTTTTGATGAGTCTCTTGGCCTTTTAAAATGGCACTTGTTTGTGAATCTGTGCTGATGGTAAATGTGGCAGGTTTTCGTTGCAGATCAGGCAGTTCTCAGCTCTGCTGATGAAGATGGCATTCCCAGGGTTCGGGAGCTAGCAAGCAGAGCATCCCTCTGGTTGCAGGGGGAGTTGTTTTAGGGCCTGTTAGAAAACCTGTAAATACAGCTCGTTTTAAGTTTAGAGGTGACTCTCTTGGCTCCACGGAAGTGTGCATGGGAACTCCCATTGACTCTTGGAGGAGTCAGGGTTTCTCCTTCCTAGAGGACTTAGCATCCAGCTTTCCTTGGGAAAAACTTCTGCCTTTCCCAGTCTTGAGAATAAAGTGGGGGGGGGGATCATGTGAGGAGTTGTGTTTGATCTTTGCAGCTTTTATGTAGTCCTCTCATCAGGGTGTAGGTTATTTGTCTCCAAGAATTTCTGAGCTATGAATCCACTTGCGTTCCTGATATTACAGCAGAGATTCATTTGACCTGTTACTCATGTGTTGTCTCTGCTGCTCTCCAGTGCTAGCGATCTCAGAGATCAGGGCAAACACTGCAAATAAGAAGCTGAGGCGCTCCAGGATTTATCACAGTGGGATAAATTGTTTACCACTGTGCAAGCAATGCATTTGTACACTGGTGGAGTTTTGTGACAGAGCTTAAGAATTATCTGTAGTACTGTGGTATGACGTGGAACAGCAGAGACTGACTCTATCCTGTCCAAAGGAAAAGAAAAATATTCCCCCTCCCCTCTCAAATCCTTTCTAGTCTATCATCAGGTCTAGGGAACTAATCATCATTTGCACTGGGAGTTAGCAGTAGGCATTTGTTAACATCTGCTGTGCTATTTGCAAATGCAATCATTAAGGAGGGTGTTGTCCCATGTGTTGGGCTTTTCCTGAAGAGTTTTTGTTTTGAAGCAATTTTTGCTTCCCTTTTTAAAAATGGAACGTCTGGGGAGGAATATGGTTAGCTGTGCAGAGAAGCTGACTCTGTTCACAGAAATAAGGGCTGCTATTTATCTTTCTGCTGATATAGAGGTGAGAGAATGGAAACAAAGCAGCAAATGTCAGTAGGATGTAAAAGTACGTTGTCTTGATTTTCTTACAGAGCACAGAAGAGGCAGCAGAAGAAAACAGTTTACAGATGCTAAAAAGAAAAAACAACCGGCATAAAGGTGCGACTCGCTTTATAGACCAACTGGGAGATTCTGGGATCTGTTAGGTTGAAGTTCAGAGCATGGAGATGGTTGATAGCAGCGATGCTGCACATGTGTCTTTATTATTCTCCCGAGAGGAATGGCGCTCCAGGCTCTGGCAGGGGGGTGGAAGTCTGCTTTGCAGAATGGCCGGGCGGGTTTTCATAGCTGCGCAGCGAACGAATCTCTGCGTTTTGGCCAGCACTTGCTGTGTGATGTGAGCCCGTGAGTTCACCTGGGAATGCCCCCGCGCCCGTTGGCTGCTGTGTTGGGCTGCCCGTCCCCAGAAAATAGGGGTGCCTCTGCCTGACCCCCCCCCCCAACCCCTCTATCAATACATTGAAAAGGGAATCACCTCGGTCTCCTTCCACTGGAGCCCCTCCTGAAGGAGGGGGGTGAAGTTCTGCCAGGCTCTGGAAGGGGCTAGAAGAGGAGGTGCCGTGAGGAGCAGGGGCTGAGCAGCAGCCCAGCGGTGAGAGGGGAGCTCAGCCCACCTGGAGCAGGAGCTCTGCCTCACAGGGCAGGGCTGGGGCTGGCTGAACGCTGCTACGGTTGCTGCTGCCACCACAGGCTTGCCTTTTGAACCCTGGGTGCTTAATACAGTATTTTACTGCATAAACATGCTGTTAGAGCAGTGGAATCAACCACTGAACCCATCCTTCACTTCTGCAGTTTTCATGTTACCCCGAAGGTCCTGCTGCAGTTGCCTGTTGGGATTATGCTGTCACTTGGAGGGCGTTAGTGGTGATTATTCACCTTCCCATGGCTGTGCTTAGTGTATGGGCATGGTATCCTAACAGTAGGTCGCTGCATAATGTTTTTTCTGAATTTTTACTACCACTATGAAGAACAGGCAACCTAGTAGGACATCTAGTGTTAAGTGAAATGATCTTTTTTTTTTTTTTTTTTCCCCTTCACAAACGTCTCCCAACAAAAAGTAACCTTTTTAATGGAGACTGGCAGATTTCTGTGAGCTGTGTGATAGCTCTTTCCTTTTGAACAGCCCATATAATTGATCTCACTGAAACCTGTCGCTGACCTGCCGCTCTGACATGAATTAAAAATAGGTAGTTATTTCCCTAGAGATCCAAATCTGACAAAGCAGGCATATAAAACGGGCTGTAGTAAACAAGTTCAGTGCCCAGATCACTTGGGGTAAAAGTAGCCTTAATTCTCTTATCATGTCCAATACTTATTCACTTGTACCATTTTCTATCCTTTAGCCCATTCAGTCCGCAGTGTGGTCCTGAGGACTGGAAGGAAGAAAAAAAAAAAAAAACAAGACAAATCCCTTGTTTTCCTGTACTAGGGGGTATCAGGAGGCTTTAGGAATGGTGTGTTTAGAGTTGTGGAGATATTTGCTTTTGATAAATGAAGACAGATCTCGAGCTTAGGTAGCTTTATCCCCAGTGCTTACATCCGCCTGACCGTGGTTTTGTTCCCACGGAACAGGGCTGAGTGGGGAGCTGGAGGAGCCAGAGATCTGTATTCGTGTTTGTTACTGGAAGGGGAGGCTTTGGCTAAAGTTTCTGTTTCTGAAGCAAACGAGTAAAGCCCCCTGTACAGAACACTTCTGTTTGAGAGTGTGTTTTTGTGTTTTAACAGTCCGAATAGACTTTCTTAGGAAATGCAAGCAAGCTGGGCTTCTGGATGACATATTTGAAGAAATGCTGGACACGCTTCACCTGGCGCAGGAAAAACTGATGGATGACAACACCTCAGAAACAGGTATGGAGACCCACGGGGGACTCTGCTCTCAGAGCAAAAGCGCTGATCTGAATGCCAGGCACTCAGCCCTGGGTCACCCTCCTGAGGGTACTTCTGTAGTGCCAAGTAACTGGGTCCTGTTTTATTTCTGTAGCTGCACAGCAGGTGGAGAGTGAGTATTTTTTGGTACACCCGTGCCAGCAGAGGGGAAGAGCTGCTAACTCAGCATGCTCTAGTGAGGCCTTCTAAGCTGAATTTTTGAAGCCACCTTTTGCCCATTGGCATAAGCACAGGTAGTTCAGCCTGCCCTCTTCTCCTGGGCACTGAAGAGAAGGGAATTCCCCGAACCAGAAGTCTTTATTTGGCTCATAAGTCTGTGCCATTCTTACAGCTTCACAGAGGGACCACCTATCTGTTCGTATCAGTACGCTCTTTTGAGGGAAAAATCCCTGAGCTTGTACATTTCAAGTCTTTGGATGATTACTTAGAATTTTATTGTCAACTGTTAGTGTGTATTTGGGGGTTTCATTGCTTTAAGTATCAGCTTGTATGAAGCACTTTGTTCTTGAAGGATTCCGCTCTAATGTTGCTTTGTCCGCAACACAGTGAAAAAAGAAAATACCAACCCTTCCACCCCTGGTGTCCTCCCAGCTTTACAAAGTTACGAACAATACCTTTGGATAAAGAATGCTGATTTATGCAAAGTAACTGAAGCACATGCATGGGAAGTGAAATGTAGCCCACCTGGCCAAATCTTCCTCACGAGCAGCTCGCGTGTAACGTGACAGCAGCTGCTAGAAGAAGTAATGAGTCTGGGACACATTAGGGGTTCAGAGCTTTTCACCAGTAAGCAAACCTCTTAACGGTCCTGCGAGGTCTTCAGGCGTTTTGTATTTCATTTCACTGGAAGCCTCAGTTAGGAAATTGAGGCATCATTCTGGGCTGGTTTTTGGTGATAGCGCTGTCCCACATGGCACGTGACCTGTCAAGAGGAATTGGTATGGTCAGCCCTGCTGTTACACATACAGCCCTGACAAGACTGAATTAAATATGACTTAAGTATATTTCTCATTTTTCAATGGGCTGATCACATGGTGCAGACCCAAAAAGGGAATTGCAGGTAGGTCCCCTTGCCTATTTTCTGTGTGAAACTTAAAAAAAAAATAAAAATAGTAGAATTGACAAATTGATCCTTCTTTCTCAATATGGATTATATGAGAAGGAAGACATCTTAAAACCTCAAGCAATTGGTATGATATCAAATAAGTAATTGCTGTTCTGTGCTACTTGTAATGTGGGGTTCTGTAAACCTTTTCTCAGTAATATTAAATCAAACGATCTCTTTCCCCAGAGTACGAAGAGACAGTGATGTCACTCTTTGACTGTGGACTCTTTGAAAATATACTGGCAAATATTCATTCAGGTATGTGAAATAAGCTGTCAGAGCAGTAGCAGTTGGTATGGGGTTTGGCACAGAGGTTATTCTTCTGAGCATTTTGATAAAATGACCATTTAAAATGAAAATTCCAATGGAACTTTTTTCTCAGTGTTCTATAAACAACTGTATAAAAGCCATTGCTGCCTGAATCTTTAGAAACACAGTATGTCAGATCTGGCTGGCTGGCCTGAAGTGGGAGGCAAGTCACAGTTCCACAGCTTTAAAAGACCAGGGGGTCTCCTCCCCAGAGGAACCTCGTGTCCTGTTTCTGCAGGTTATTTCCCTTCCTCCTCCGCAGCCTCCCTCCTGCAGCTCCCCCGGGCTACAGCTCTGCTCCCGTCGGATGAACGCTGTTCAGACTGGCTGGTGGGTTTCAGTTAAGAGCCTTAAACGCCAGGAGCAGAACTGACCTGGACCTGATGGCAAGTGTAATGTGCTTTGAAAAACAAGCTGAGAATGCTCGGAGTGAAATGAAAACAAGGGCAGGAGCAATGGCTTGGGAACCACCGGTGTGGAAGGAAACTCCGGGGCTTGGACTCCAATCTCAGCTATTGCAAGCAGCAAGGTTAAACCTGTTTTTCAGAAGTCTCTTGCTCCCATTCCCCACTCTAACTGTTAGCAGCTTTGTTGTAACTTTTGCTTTAATTTATCCCTGTGGAAAGGGAAATGGGTTTTCCTTAGCTGATGCTGGGGTTCCGTACGCGAAGGTGATGTTTGCTAATGCTTGCAGCTTCCCCTGCAATCGACTTCAAAAGCCAGGCTCCTCTTCAGCCTCCTGTTCTCCCATTTAAATTCCTCTTTCGGAGATGGGAGTGGCTGGTGTCACAGTTAGTCTGACACAAGGCTCCACCAGTGCCTCATCTGAGGGCATTAAAACACCTCTGCTCAAACATCCTCATTTGACACAACCTGGGATCACGCTTGTTTCTTTCCCGGCTTCCTCAATTACTTCATCCTCTTCTCAGCTCGCCGGAGAAATTCTTGCCACCGGCACCTACGTACACACAACCGGGCGCTTCTCAGCGGGAAAAGTTGTCGCTTCTCCGGTTCCCCACTACCTGAGCAGCTCAGTTCTTCCTGTACCACACGATCTTCCTTTCTGATACCATCAGCCTACTTCTGATTTCAAGGTCAATAACGAAAACGCACATCCAAGAGGAGCTCTTAAAATGAAAGGAATGAAAACCACGTTGGTTATAAATGAATCTGTAGGGAGGGAAGGAAATCACCAGCTTTTTTCTTTTCCTTCTTCTTTTTCTTTTTTTTTTTTGGTCCTAATCTGCCTTCCAAGCTCCAGCTAGCAAGTCTCCGTGATAACATACAAAGTCTAAGAAGAAGTAAAGCAGGACTAATACAAATCCTGTGTTGTCTTCCATCTTTCTCCTGGAACTGATGATTTTGGGTCATCAGACATGCTTTACCTCCAATCCATTTTTTCATTTTACCTTTTTTTTTCACTTCTTGGCTCATCCTGCAAAATCTCTTCCGAAGCCTCACGCATCAGCACAGCAAGTTCATTCTGAATTGTAATTGTTGATAGTGCTTTTAAAAAAGTCCCTTTTATATACAGGGATAAACAGTTCTTTTGCAGCACGCGGCTTGATTGCAAACTTGGCTGCATCTAAAACTTTTCACACGGAACCAGCTATCACCTCGACAGCAGTTTCAAGTTTCTAGGTTGGAGGTTTTTTTTTTTTTTTTTCCCCCCCCAGGGAAAAGCGTCGTCCTTTAGTTTTGCTGCTTCTTCTGTTGTCGTGCGTCCTGCTGGGGGTGAGACCTCAGTCGGCTTTGACCTCCCCTTTTGGCTCTGTGCTCCCGGGGCGCGTTTGTTTTCGGGGGGATCCCGCCGCTCAGCTGTGCAGGGGGGAGTCGCAGAGCTGTTGTGTGTACCTCCTCCTAGAGCCCCCTCCTGCCACAACGGGGAGGGCGCTTGGGTGCCAGCGGGGAATTAAACCGCGACTCTTGGCGAAGGGGAAGCGCCTCCCGGGCCCACATTCCGCAGGCCGTGCTACACATTGGTTGCCCTTCAGGTCATCTCCTGCGTGAGGTGGAAGGTTCCCAACCTGTTGCCTGCCTTCCTGTGGAAGCGCTCCCACGGGCCGGGCCTCCCCACCGCTGGCAGCTCTCGCCGGGCTGTTTCTCTTTCTGCCACGTCCTTTTGGGAGGAGAGACAGAGCGCCGTGTGTCTTCCATCTGTAGCTCACCCCTACGGCCAAATACGGTGACGCAGCTCTGATGTTTGCTCTTCCTTTTGATTATTCCCGATAAAACTTGTTGATTCGTATCCAGTTACGCTCAGAGAGGTTTTTTTTCCCCCTCAGCTCCCACTCGCACAGTCTTTTTCCTCAAGTATGTGCCTGCTCAACCGCAGAGACGTGACACCCGGGGGGCTGCCTGTGGCGAGCCCTGAAGATGACGGTTTCCACCGTGATCTTGCCGCAGCCGCTGAGGTGACGCTGTGGAACTGTGATGGGCTGTGCTGTCAGGTGTAAGTGACACCTGAGGGCAGGAGAGAGAGGGGAGGGGAGAGGGAGAGAGGAGAGGGAGAGGGAGGAGGAGAGGAGAGGAGAGGAGAGGAGAGGAGAGGAGAGGAGAGGAGAGGAGAGGAGAGGAGAGGAGAGGAGAGGAGAGGAGAGGAGAGGAGAGGAGAGGAGAGGAGAGGAGAGGAGAGGAGAGGAGAGGAGAGGAGAGGAGAGGAGAGGAGAGGAGAGGAAACGAGAGGAGAGGAGAGGAAACGAGAGGAGAGGAGAGGAAACGAGAGGAGAGGAGAGGAAACGAGAGGAGAGGAGAGGAAACGAGAGGAGAGGAGGGGAGGGGAGGAGGAAACGAGAGGAGAGGGAGAGGGAGAGAGGAGAGGAGAGGAGGGGAGGGGAGAGGGAGAGAGGAGAGGAGAGGAGAGGAGAGGAGAGGAGAGGAGAGGAGAGGAGAGGAGAGGAGAGGAGAGGAGAGGAGAGGAGAGGAGAGGAGAGGAGAGGAGAGGAGAGGAGAGGAGAGGAGAGGAGAGGAGAGGAAACGAGAGGAGAGGAGAGGAAACGAGAGGAGAGGAGGGGAGGGGAGGAGGGGAGAGGAGAGGAGGGGAGGGGAGGGGAGGAGGAAACGAGAGGAGAGGGAGAGGGAGAGAGGAGAGGAGGGGAGGGGAGAGGGAGAGAGGAGAGGAGAGGAGAGGGAGAGAGGAGAGGAGAGGAGAGGAGAGGAGAGGAGAGGAGAGGAGAGGAGAGGAGAGGAGAGGAGAGGAGAGGAGAGGAGAGGAGAGGAGAGGAGAGGAGAGGAGAGGAGAGGAGAGGAGGGAAGGGGAGAGGAGGGGAGAGGAGGGGAGAGGAGGGGAGAGGAGGGGAGAGGAGGGGAGAGGAGGGGAGAGGAGAGGGAGAGGGAGAGGGAGAGGGAGAGGGAGAGGGAGAGGAGAGAAGGTCATCTGCTTTTTATTCGGTCGGAGCGAGGGTGAAGCGTCAAGTCCCTCTTTCCTGAATTGCTGCCCAGGGTTTTCAACAGGCGCTGCCCCTTTTCCAGCATCCACACTCAACCTGGGTGGGCAACGTCCGTCGAAACGCGTTGTAACAGTGTGTGCACACACACACACAGACCCCCGCAGCGACGGGCTTCCTGCGCGACGAGGAAGAAGCAGCGGGGAAGAGAAGGCCAAAGGCTTGTTTGGTTTGGTTTGGGTTTTATAAAAATCTCAGTTAAGGATGGTTCAAGATCTGTAATTCGGAATGAAAAAGGGGTAAAACATCCGGAGCTACTATCGGGTTGTGCTGACGGCCTGTGAGGCCCCTCACGGAGCTCCCGCTGACTTCCACCGTCTTTGGCAGCAGCAATGCGGGCGGGGAGAGCTTTGCAAATAAAGAACTTGGTTAATCCCATCAGCATACTGGAAATAACTTATTTTTTTCCAGAAGCGGGAACATTAGGTGCTCTTGTCTGGTTTTTGAGAACCTAAGCTGTTGAACGCAGTCGTCTTTTCGGGTTTAATTTTGTTGTCGTTGGCTAAAATCCATTAAGCTTGCGAATTGGCTCTTAAGCGTGTAATTCAGAGATGTTTTCCTGAAACATTTCAAATGCATCTTTGTTGGAGGAGCCCCCCTGCAAAGGGATTCGGAAAATGGAAGTGTTAAATCTCGTACGTCAACTAACATTGGGGTAGTTGCTAAGCTGCTAATTTTTATATTTGCTGGGATGAGTTAAATGAAATCTATCACGCTGCTGGTTTTGAGATTACGGTATGTGGATGATGAAGTATGTAACTCTACTTTTTTTCTTTTGACACTTTAATACTTCCACTAGTCTCATACAACACATAGTCCATCTCTGTGACGAGACCAACTGTATATACAACATGCTTTTTAAATTAACGATAGTTACATATGACTGAAAGCTTTTATCTCTTTTATTTTTTCTAATAGGAACGGAGGAGAAAATCCAGGAGCTTCTGGAAAGCAGAAAAAGACTGGATAACAAGATTGAGCTACTGCAGGACTTAAAAAGAATTGTCCTTCCTCCCCAGGAGAACAGCGCTAGTACCTCTAGTACGGTATCTGAATAACCCCTCGGTCTGTCTGTCATGGTGTCAATATTTAGGATTTTCTAATGATAGAAACCATAGAGCACGTCTGGTCAGTGTGAGAGTACTCCCCCCCCACCCCCACCCCCCCACCCCACAGGGACACAGCAAGAACTGGGCGTTTTTACTCATTTTTATACCTCACCGTTGCAATAATTTTAAGTTGTCCCTTTCTTTAAATTTTACCACGGATCAATGAGCGTTAAACACTGAATTTGGCTTTTTTTAAAGCTCAACAAAACCCTCTAATGAAGAGGTTTGTTTTTTTTTTTTTTCCTCAAAGGCAAGGTTTGGTTTTTCCACCAAACTCTCATTAAAGTCACTTTAGCTGTGGGAGCGCAGTAGCCGCTTCCCTGCATCGAGACAGTGATGTTTTTAAGGATCACATTGCTGCTTTGCCTTTCCAAAGACGACCAATTAGCAGACCTTGCACTCAAAGAAGCCTTCTGAATTATGAACAGGAGTTTGGTTCTTTTAATTAAATGGTTCTTGATTGACTGCTTAATATATAACTAGTTCTGCTGTGATGGCAGCGGTGAAATGGTGTTTGCAGGCGGACCAGAAACGGTTGGGCATCATACTCTAAACACAGAGGGTGTAAAAACAGATCAAACAATGGACTGTACCTTCCTTTCTGCCTTAAGAAAGGATTTGACTTCAATGTGTTTTGTCAAAACAAAAATTGTTTGAATACAGAAAAGCACCGTTTGGCTACAAAAGGGGAAGTGACATGAAATAAAATGTTTTTAAGAAAGCTGCGTTACCTCGTGCGCCCCTCAGCAGCCCCGCCGCTGCGCGGGCGGTGGCGGGGGGGGGGGTGTAGTCCCACCCTCTGTCCCTCCAGCTCCCCTCTGCAGCACGGGACCAGCCACCCACCAGCCCCGGGGCTGGGGGAGCAGCCAAACTCCCTCCGCCACTCGTACCGGCTCGGAGCTGGGGTTTGTTCCCTGGGAAGGTGGAGATGGGCCAGCGCCCAACGCGTAAGCTCTGGGGGTGGAATTCAGCCACCTCCTGGAGAACGAGAGCCTGGTGGTTTCCTTAAGTGTGTAATTCAGAGATGTTTCCTCGAAACGTTTCAAAAATGCATCTTTAGTGGAGGAGCCCCCCCCCCGCAAAGGGCCAGGAGTAGAGACACAACCCGGTTACTGCCGCTTGCAGCTCTTCCGCCCCGGGGAAGCTCCCACCGACTGCAAACGTGTGTGAAGCTGGAGCTTCACTTGGCGTTAGGAAACCAGGACAGGGGCAAAGCCACTGCTCCCGGGAGCTCCTTTTCCCTGAACTGCTGACCAAGGAAAGTCCTGTACCTGAAAGGCTCGGAGTTGGAGCCCCACACAAGTCATTCCTTAAACCCATCGGTGACACATCTGGAAGCCTTTTGTTAGACCATCCCAGACCAAACTCCCTACAGAAGCCGCCTGGTCGCTGCATCAGCAACACAAAATTCTGGGGTTTGCAAAACTTTTGACAGTCATAAAAACCCAACGTTAGACCTGTAGTTAACCTGAACTTCCAGGTTCTCTGCTTCACCCCGTGGTTGGTGCAGGTGCAACGCCTTAAAAGCACCCGGTAAAACCAGTAGGTGTGTATGTCCCTCCGTACCTGCTGTAAGGTTACGGTCACACATGGACTGGTTAGTGGAGAAAAAAAAAAAAAAAAAAGCAGATCCATAAATTGTAATCACTGGGGTCTCCATTAGTCTCTACAAATAACTGTTTTCAGAAATTGAGATCACGGGTGTTTGTCAAGCACAGTGAAATCAGCAAAACCCAGTCATACAGTCTGTGGGGCTGGTTTGGTTCTGGCTTTTTTTTTTTTTGCTTCTTTTTTTTTAAAAAAAAAGCAATTTCTCTGCTATATGGAATGCAAAAAGCTTGTAATTTTCTTCAAAGTTCAAAGAAGTTTGCCAGTGAACAGGTAAAAAAAAAAAAAAAAAAAAAAAGTGAGTTTTATTACATGTAGTTTAAATTTATACAACACTTAAATGCAAACCCCCCCAATTCCAGAGAGCGTATCCCTTCCCCTCCAAAGGAGCCAGGGTAAATCTGAAGTCACCAAAGAGGGAATTTTTTTCCACTAACCATTATAAACATTGCTTGAACAGGTTACACGAAGTACACGTGACAACTTAGAACAAGGTATACCCAAATGTAGAGATTTACTTCCAATCAGATTCGCTAGTTACCCCTTTCTTCAAAGCTCCTTGCGTGGGCCTTGAGGATATATTATTTCTGCGCTCTTTTCTAAGCAGTTGGTTAATTCCACGCGGCAAACAGCAAATTCGTTCACAGTCGTGCAAGTGCAGGAAGAGAGATCCGTGCCATTTGCTTCTCTGTAATCCCAGGGAGCCCGTGATCTCAGTGACACCGCCCGGTGCCTCGGGTCAGCCTGTTCTCCGGCCCCAAAAAGGAAACTGAGAATCCGAACGGGCGGTGCCTGGGCTGGAGGGGGCAGTCCTTAACAGCGGCTGCTCCCCATTGAGATCTTGAGCTGGTTCCACCACCCGGGCTCGTTCAATGCAAGTGAATGTTTTGCTTGACGTTTTGGTTTTTTTTTTCCAACAGTTTACAGAAAAGGCGTGTTTTCACTGTGGCCTTTCCTGTCGTCCGCTACAAGAGACCCGGCAACGCTCGCTTTGGCCGTACGGTTCGGACATCCCGTTCTAACTGCAAAAAAAAAAACAAAACAAAAAAACAACCCCACAGACACCCAGAACTTACAGCCTCACTTCAGTTCTTAAAGGCTCCGCATTTACTGGCTTTAGCAATGAATTCCTTTAGCAGGGGACCGTCCATTTGCCAAAATGCTGTAGTTTGCGTCACTTCGGTCAAATGATTGACACAAAACTTAAAGCAGAATTCCTCTAAGTCCTAAACAGGGAAAAAACAAAACAAAACAAAAAACAAAACAGAAAAAGAAATCAACTTATCTTTGCTTCCATCCCAGAAAAAAATCACATTCAGGCACAAGTGCCTCTATAAGCTTTATTTTTGCAGAGAATCAGACAAGCGCGTTAACCCAGTGGCTCTCAGTGGTTTTCCCCCACACAGTCGCTATGTAAATGCAATAGAAAATAATAATTCTACCCCTGTAACCATTACAGGGGGATTAGTAACCATAATTTTGTTCTCGCTGTATCGCACAGAAGTCAGCTTTTCTGAGCTATGTAGATCTCCTTTAGAAGTTTTCCCACTTGAAGCGTTTCTCCTGCGTTCACTGACAACTATTAAAACCCAATACAAATGGGGGATCTTGGGGTAAGGCCATAGAACCAAGACTGTAGATGAAGAAAATTCAGCTCTTTTGTTCCCTAATATAAACTCCAATCTATACACGAGGCTGCTTGACTCCCAGCTTAGTTAAGGGCTTAACTAGAGCCTTGAAGCCACGCGTCACCTGGCTCACCGCAGGCGCCTACTAACCGGGTAGTTTTAAAGCCAGGTTTAGGCAGAAAGCCTGTCTGTGCATTAGAAACGGGCTCGTGTTACAAATTATTTCACACACACACACACACACACACACACACGTCCCAAAAATGATACAACAGAAATACTGTGGCACAATACAGCACAGCAATTCCTGCAGGAAGCCGACTCGGGATATTTGAGTCTACTCGGCAGTGCCTCGCGTTTAACGATGAGAAAAGCCTCACGACCACCATTGCCCCCCCCCCATGATGTCAGATGTCTAACAAAAAAAAAAAAAAAAAAAAAAAACAACAAAAAACCAAACAAGACACAGTCGTTGTCAATATAAGGTTGACCACAGAACGCTTCCCACTCAGATTATTTGTTTCCAACTCAAAGAGGAGGAAATCTCCGCTGCGCGGGGCAGATCTAAGCTTCGGTAAGGAAGATGCTGCAGCCCTTACAGAACAGCAACTCCCCACCCTGCTCTAATTTGTTTATTATCTTACAAGTTTGTAGAACTGGTACTTTATAGGTGAGAACACACCCTTCCCTCAGCTGCTCAGCAGACCGGGTGCTGCAGTAAGGCAGAACAAATTTGCAGAGCTCGAAGCCACGTGGGGTTTGAAAGACTGATTAATATTCATGTTTTCACTTAAGGTCAATGCTGACAACCAGAGCAACTGTGTGCCACTGAGAGTTCTTGACACAACAATAATATAAAAATACATCCTGGCCTAAAACCAGGCATTCTGAAGCTGTAGATCTTGACTTGTGTGGCATCTGTGCAATGAAAAAAGACAAGCTTATTAGAACTGAACACTGATGGTTTGCCTTTTTTTTTTTTTTTTTTTTTAAGTCACAGAATGAACTAGCATTTCAAACAAAATTACATCGTACACATTACAATATTTTGCACTGCTTTATTTAAAAACGAAACAAAAAAAAAAAAAAAAAAACACATATTCCAAGTCAATGCAACAGAAGCATACAATAAACAGAAATGCTGTAGTATTAGTAAGTAGCTTTGGAAAATTCAAAGTTCTGCATAAAAAAGGGCTGAATGTCATTTGCAGATGCATGCGCTCCCAGCAAACTGTACTTACTACAGACTTAAGTGAACAAAGGCACAAAGTTCATCCAAAGATTATTTTAAAAGCTACGAGAAAAAGCCAGACCTGGCCTGATTCTAACCACGTCAGTCAGGCACCAGAAGAAAACACGGGAGAGCTCATGGAGGGATTTCAAATTAGTGAAGCGGCTGCTTTTTTAACTGTCGCCTTCCAGACGCGCAGCCCCTCGAGCGAAGTACCTCACTCGAGCCACTTCGAGCAAGCACTACTGCATGTAAAACCCACTTTTAACCAAAACCCAACCTCTCAGGGTCACCCATTATCTCCCTGATGTAGCGTTCAAGCCTACGGTTCTACCTTCATTTCTGACTTCATCCAGCTAGCGAGGTACAGCCAACACCTCCTACCCGGGTGACTCCTACCCTTTACAAGCAGACCGAAGATCCATCCTGTGAGCGATCTTTTAAGGCTAAAATATGGAAGTCTTCCTATTTTCCGTGAACTCCCACCAAAGAAATTGCTACTCACAGAAGAGCTGAAACCACAGATCAGACACTAGTACTTTGGGTAAGGTGTATCAAACAAGCGACGCGACACAAGGCTCTAAGGTCGGGCATCTGCGCCCCAGTTGCTGGACATGAAGTTCAAGAAGAGGCAGCGAGTTGATTTACCGAGTGCCAAAACTGCTTTATAAGCTTCAGCAGCAAGTTAAAAACTAACGGGTGGTGGAAGTTGCAAACGTGATTGGACGCAGCCAGCTGAGGCCAGCCCAGGAACACTGCCTGATGAGCTCACCAAGCAGCCTGTTGGCCACCCAGCAGCCTTTCACGAGCCTTCTCCCCTTTTCACACAATGTTTCCCTGTCTTCAACGTTTACCAGGCCCACACAGCGGTTTTTATCCTGCCATTTCATTAGCATACTGTGAAGACTTAAAAGTGTATTTTACTGTAGACTGACAAATAAAAAACAATAAAAAAAAACCCACCCTACCAATCAAAAAACCCCCCAACCTACCACCATATGACATCACACACAACATACAATCTCACAAATAAGGAACTGAAGGCTTGCAAGACTGCTTTCCGTAATGTTATGGGGTTTCTTTTGTGGTTAAACCCTCCCCTCGCTCAAGAGTTAGTGTTGTCATACTCAGAAAATTTTTGTTCGTTTTCTTCCCCCCCCCCCGGCCCAAAACAGCAATTCATGAAGCTTGGCACAGCCTCAGAATCTTTCCCCATGAAATGAAGCAATGCAAACATTTACAGGTGCCAAGTCTCAGCCTGGGATTTCAGTCATCTTTAGATAATCTGTGTACAGGTTCACCTTCCCAGTACTGATTTATGAGGAGAAAAAAAAAAAAAATAAAGGAAAAAGATCTCTCTCTCATGGCAAATACAGTTTTCAAGTCCAACGCTCTCAAATTCTAAAAATGGCAAATAGTATTACCTGCTAGTGAGAGAGAGCTTATACGGAAACCTAACTTGGCTGCTTGTCTCCATAGTTTAAGTCAGAAAGCAGCCACCTATTTAAGAGATTGAAGTTTAGGCGTTTACCTCTGCATCGTATCTGACCGCAGCAGAGAGCAACGAAAATGCATTTTCCACAGTAATTCCTCGCTTGATAATGTGCTGACACAGTTTTTTCAGTCTGTTTTCACAGTACGAAGTAGCCAAATCCAAAAGCCCTGCAATTAAAACACCATCGTATTAGTCCGCCGTAACGGCCTCTGATCTTCCAGCAGCAGTTCAGGCTCCTGGGGCACAGACTGCGCGCGCGCTCTGTACGCAGTGCTCTCTACCACACGCTTTTTGCGAGGAGGTCCCTAGCCAGAGAAAAGCTATTTTACCATTTTGCAGGATGAGAGGCCTTTTACTACCTCCCCCCCCAATCCTGGTCATCTCTGTGAGCGCGCAAGCTGTTCCGCCGATCTGCGCACCTCGCCGCTTGTGAGGGTGGAACCTGTCGCAGAACAGGCGCCCACAACACGGGCCAAGAGCTGCCGTTTGAGAAACCTGTGCTTGAATTACGGCTTGCTCTCCGCTCTGCCGGCCGAGCTTCTCCTGTTTTAGAGCTGCTGAGATTCTCTTTGATACTATCCTAAACAATAACTGACTCGATTTAAAAAGCACGCAAGGATGTTAACCCAGAGGAAGTTCCTCTCCCAACCTTGACAAAACTGCTCATAGTTTATTTCTAAATACGCACTACTTTTGCTGCGGTAAGTTGGCTACAACAGCCCTTTAAAGACAGCTTGCTTAATCACCGGTGAAACGCATCACGGGCTGGACTAGCAACCCCTATTGATACATTTATTCTGCATCCCCCGTCTCGTTTTCTCTGGATGCTGCTTCCTAACACAATCAGACCGTAAGCAATACCTATTGCATCTTCAGGCGGAAGGTCAACACTGTCTGTATACAAGTACTCAAGAAAGGCACGATACACAGGATAAGAAAATTGGTCTACTTCTATCACTTCCTTCATATCCTCATTCCAGTATGACTGGAACATGGTTCTGAAGTGTTCACACCTAAGAGACAAAGACAGCAGCTGGAACACTGTTATACAAACACATGGATGTTACATCACAGCCCCCCCGAAATAAGTACTTGGGGCACTCTGCACGACTGACAAATATTTTACCTTGCCCCATCGCAGCCAGCGGGCCACCTTATGATTCCTCACACTGTGGGCGCTGTTCCACTTGCACAGCAAGATAAAACTCTTATTTGAGCTATGCTGTAGAAACATCTGTGTGTACATTGCAATCAGACCAACTTAACGGAATTTATTATCCTGGGAACAACAAATAGGCTTAGGGAAAACTGAATACAGACCATTTTAGGACAGAGGTTGATTCAACTCTTTTTACAGTCGCTTCATTTAAAGTGATTAGGGATACACAGATGCTATATACTACAGGTTTAGGGACCCCTCCCTAGCCCTTCCTTCCCCACCCCCCCCCTTAGATGTGATACTAAGAAGTTATTCTATAGAAACAAGAGCTGCGAAACGTGACCACTACCTGATTTTCAGCACAGCTTTGTGGACATGGATGTACTTGCCATCCACACGGAACTTTAAGTCTGAAGTTTCTGGGCTGTCAAACTCTTTCTTCAGAGACTCCGCTACTGTTAAAAAGTCTTCATGCTCTACAGAAACAATTTTAAAACAAACAAAAAAGAAAACCACATTAAGCATCTTAAACGAGACACGCACGACCCTAACTAAAGCTAGCAGCTCAACTAAGAGCACGCATCAATGAAGACAGGTCAGTACCAGGGCTCCACTGGCTCAAGCACTGAACTGGGAAGACTGAATTAATCCGTTTCCTATTATAGGCAAGGTCTGCCCCACAGCAGCTACAGGCAGCAGGGCTCCAGCTCACCGCAGAGGGATAGCACAGCACCAAGGGAAGCACCCGGAGACCTTCCTTTCTCCTTCTCCGCCTGGGCACCAGCCACGGACGTGCCAGTCTCCCGGCAGCTCGGTGCTAGTGCCACCTGCAAACGAGCCTCTGCAGCTAACCTGCAGACTGCTGGGAAGGGGAGCCTACCCCATCAACTGCAACTCGCCCGAGACGCAGCGCACAGCACTTCAGCTGCACTGACACCGTGGGGTCCGAGTCTAAAAAGCAAGAGAACAGGTCACCAGCTGGCCTCTTTTTTTTTTTTTTTTTTATGCTGGCAGATGGGCTGTAGCCTGCGGGTTATCTGTTAAGGTCTTTGCCAGGGCTCACTGACACCATTATACTCCGTTTATTAGTCAGTTCTGACAACACAAAATCCAACAGCAGTGCTGTGGAAGAAGAAAAACATTGCCTACCGTGTTCTTGGCAGAACCAAGGACACAGGACTTCAGCAATTTTGGCAGTAGATTAAAGAGATTTCACAGATCTTTGACAGTTCATTATATTAAGGCTTATATCCCTGTCCCACAGAGGTTCCACTCTGTGTCTCTAGAAACCATACAAAAGTTGCAGCACAAGTTGGCTAGGGCTTGTGGTAAAGCAAGAGCTCCGAAGTTTTAGAAAACCTAATTTAACCCGCTATTTGAAGCTTCTGTTGATGCATCTTAGAAGTGCGTTTCAAAACATGTGGCTTCTAAGAAGCAATGTATAGAAAAGAAAAATAAGTGGATTTCCACCATAAAGCAATATGGTCCATCAGCTGTGTCCCGCAGGGCTGTGTACTGTTCATCCATACGCAATCCACAAATTACTCCTCACCATTGGGGACAGGTAAATTAGCTGATATTTAAAAAGAGATACTGTTATAACAAACTGCTGTAACAAAGAAGTCATGTTTGTGCCACAAAAGACCATATAGGCTCCTCCACAGAACCTGCACCTCTTCAGGGCTAACTAAACCACGCTCCAATCCCCCTCCATTTGCTCATGTGATTTTTTTTCTAGGTCATCAGCTTAGCTTAAGCTATGCAATAGATCAACTTTCACTCCAAATACCTTAACTTCAGTCCTCAAAAAAGGCCACAGATTTTTACTTCACCACAGCCAATCCCGAGGGACTGATTAACTTTTCTGGCAGAGCCATCGTAACTAGAAGCAGAACAAGAACCTTTACGCAGAGTTAAGTCTCACTAAGGGAAAAACAAACAAAAAACAAACCCAAACAAACAAACATAAAAAACACCAAACCAAACCAACACATGAAAAAAAGGGGGTTTTAAACCTTTATGAATATAAAAGGTGGGGAAGGAAAAAATGTATATGGAAAATTGAGATTAAAAATCCCCCCAGAATTAATGCTCATGATTTAAACATTCGGCAAGTAGGATTATCAGAATAAGAGGGGAAGATCCCGCCAAGGCTAAGAGGAGTTAGAATGCACGTACAAAATTAAAATACTTCGTTATACTCAGTCTGGAAATACCCCATAAAAATCAAGAACTTGGAAGGTACTGAAACCGGGGAGATGCCATTTCAACAGCTGTGCTGGTTTTGGCTGGGATACAGTTAATTTTCTTTGTAGGAGCTGGTATGGGGCTACGCTTTGGGTTTGTGCTGGAAACAGTGGTGATAATTCAGGGATGTTTTAGTTCTTGCTGAGCAGTGCTGAGGCAGAGCCAAGGGCTTTTCTGCTCCTCACCCCACCCCACCAGCGAGCAGGCTGGGGGTGCACAAGGAGTTGGGAGGGGACACAGCCGGGCCAGCTGCCCCCCCCCAGCTGACCAAAGGGATATCCCATGCCATATGGTGTCACGCTCAGCATATACAGCTGGGGGGAAGAAGAGGGAAGGGGGAGATGTTCAGAGTGATGGTGTTTTGTCTTCCCAAGCCACTGTTACACGTGCTGGAGCCCTGCTTTCCTGGAGATGGCTGGACACCTGCCTGCTGGTGGGAAGTGGTGAATGAGTTCCCTGTTTTCCTTTGCTTGCGTGCACGGCTTTTGCTTGACCTATTAAACTGTCTTTATCTCAACCCACGGGTTTTCTCACTTTTACTCTTCTGATTCTCTCCCCCGTCCCACCAGGGGGGAGCGAGCGAGCGGCTGGGTGGTGCTCAGTTGCCGGCTGGGGTTAGCCAAGGCTGATGTCGTGGTTCATTAGCAAAAGGCAGAAGACCTGGACAACCCTCAGACCTCTACAGAGGGCAAGACTAACACATATCGCAGGGGATGAGGGAATGTGAGACAAAACAAGACTTGGATTTACTCAGAAGTACATCAATCCAAGTTAATCTTCTCTCTCTTTAGTGAAACTGTTCAGTTTTTCTTTGTAGACAAGATGCTGTTTTCTGGACCTCTGTCAGTGTGACAACATGCTAAATGGGAAGTTTAGATGGAGAAGCTGAATTAGGAGAAGTCACATGAAAAGATAAAGCGTGAGTCTGGAGAAAGGCTACTTAGTATGTGGTTCTTCCACAAAACCAGTTTTGTACAAGGACTAACAAAATCAGGATCTCTGGTCAATATGAAAACAGATTAGATCTCCTAAATGATCTTGAGAACTGAAGTGGCAGAACGTGCACCGTTTTGAACGTGAAAACACCTTCATGTTTTCAGGGAAGTGCCAGCTAAGTGCAAGCTAAGCACCTTATAGCATATTTGGGGTTAAATAAGATTAGCAGCATGTGAATCAAAGATAATCAAGAAGAAAGGCTTGGACTTATTTGTTGGTCACAGGGACTGTAATCCATGGCAGTGTAAGAAGAGAATTTCAACAGGAAAAAACAATTACACTAGGGCCTTGCTTTACAGGGGCTATTATTTACAAGTCTGCCTGTCTTTGTGGAAAGCCAAGCGAAATCAAGTTGAGAGAAATTGTCTCACAAAATGAAAACTTGGAATTCTGTTCCTTTACTTTCCTAACATGAAACATAGGAGAGACTTCTCCTTCATATTCGTATTGGAAGGGTAAATACTGAGGAGGGAAAGCCAGAGACAACACTTGTAATTCAAAGTTGTTAGCTACCAAAGCAGCAAGCGTCAGGAGCAGCTTTCCAAGTAGGAATAGTTTTAAGAGAAAAAAAAAAAAGTTGTGTTTAACGATCCAGGGGTCCTGCCCAGTCCTGAGCTGGAGTTCAAACTATACAAATGGAGGAAATAAGACAATATTCACAGTGCAAGGGTAAAACAGGGCTCCCTCCAGATGCATACTGGCAAACAAACAATCTTGTTAACGCTGTTCTGCGTCGTTAGCTGCCGAAGTGGACTTCCTTCACAGGAAAGAACTTAGCTAAAAGAGCTAATTTTAATTGCTGGTTCTCCTTAAAGCAGGAACCTGCCGCGGCAGCGGTATCCTGCACTGATCCCTGCAAACCTACACAGCGATTACAGCCGTGACTGGCAACGGAGCTTCGTCTCACCTACTGACAGAAGCCTCCACATAACGGCAGGGGTAGCAAAGCAAGCAAACACATCGTCAGTGCAGGCAAAGTGAGTGAGGTGGGGCAGGATCACCGACTGCCCGCGGCACTGGCCCCACATGTACACCTGGCCGCTCTGCGTCTTGGCAGCCGACGTGTGAGCAGAGTGGCAGGCTGCAATCTCCACAACCCTGCGAACAGAAGAAACCGTGTGAGATCCTTACAGATAGGGGACCAGGTAACTTCCCAAATGCCTCGCCAAAATAACAGCCAACCAAAGTGCATTCACACTGCTGTGCTACTTTCTCTGCCCTGCGCGAATGTGATACCGTTTGAATAAGTATTTAAAAACTGCAACGACATTTTTCAGATTGCTTGTAGACTTTACCATAACCAGAGCTTGCTTTAATTACGTCAGTCTCCTCAGCTGACGTTCCTTCTTCCTCAGCCATGGGAAGGGGTGAAGAGAAACAAAGTTTTGGGTTTCCCCTTTAAAACCAATGCAACATCAGACACTTATTTGCAAGAAGAAATGTTTATGGTGGTTATGCAACTTCCAGTTAGGGAACAGGCAAAAAGTTCAACTACTAAGATTTTGGCGGAGCATTTTTCAGAACTTCTTTCAAACAGATGCTGTAAAAATTCTCCCATTTTGAGGTTCAGTTCCTATGTATTTTTCAATTAACCCTCTATTAAGAAACCCTTCTACGCCACCCCCCTTTTCATCTCTTCTGTTTTGTACGTATACAGAGGTCTGTCCTACAGCCTGTATTTCTGACCTCCTATTTTGCTGTTATTTTCCTTTCCTCAACACTGAAATTCAGCATAGAACATGGACAGTGCTTCATCTGAGGACAGGTGAATACAGGCACTTACCTCCGCATTCCTGAAGAGCTGTGGTTGTTTTTTAAATAAAGTCTACACAGTATTTTCACCCACCTCACATAGTTCCTTAAAATATTAGAGCTGCTGATGCGCACTTATCTATCCTGCTCTCCCGTTGCTCAGGCAATCCCTATCTTGCTATCTGAAACATTACAAGAACTGAGAAGAATCACACTTTCATTAAAAGGACATCAAGGACGTTGCCAGGGTCTCTGTTCACACGATAACCAAAAACCGGGGCAAGTTCCAGTATTAGTTCAAAAGAAAAGCTACACTTGCCTGCTTTTTCTCCACGCTAAAAATGAACCTGAGGATTTCATGCTTTTGTGCCAGAAACAGATCAACTGTGACAAATAAATGTCTTTCCAAGCAGTCCAAGAATATACATATCAAAATATTTGTTCCTTTACAGAAAAATATCCATGAAGAGTTAGCTCTTTAGGCAAAAAGCCTTTTTAGCACAAAGCCCACATTTTAAGTGCAAAAATTATTTCAAGATAGAACACGGAAAGAATCGACAATCACTTTCAGCATATGTATCAATAATTTCTGGCAGATAAAAGACTAATGGGTTGTTTTACACCATTATCAATTTATGAACCTCTGTGCAACACTGACGTCTTTCCGTATCTCTGCAAGAGACATTATAAAGTAATTTTTCTAGGGATACCTTACTTTCCTTCACAGCTATTCACCTAAACTACTTCCTTCCCCAAACCTTCTTTCCTTAGCAGAAGAGATTCTTATTTTTAGAGGAACTATACTATAATTAAGTAGTAGAGCAGGAACTGTAACACCTGTGTACTGTATACTTACAGAACACATACAGGATAACATGTTAAGTATAAATTTAACATCAAAATTCCGGAAGCTGACCCTCAGAGCTGTTCCTCCAAGCTAACACATCCTTACAGGCTGTATGTGCAATATTCTTCAGGATGGCATCAAATGCCACCTCCTAAGGAACTGTCACCAGGATCACATACAGATGACAAAAGAGTTATATAAATGACAAGAGCAGGAGAAGCAGCAGTAACATGCTTCATGAGAAATGACAGCTCACCCACTTAGAGCACTGTTTCCAAGGGAGCCAAGTCAAGAGAGATGAGTAAGTTCAAGTGACTTAGACTCCAAGCAGAAGTTTTATGGTATATTTTCTCCCTCCTTTAGTCACTGAACACATGACAGTTTTAGCTCACATGCAGTTCTAAATGCAACGGTACCCTTTGGTTCACTCAAGAAATAAATTGCTAAGAAAACAAAGTTGATCTATTTGCAAACATACACATTTCTTTCCCAGTGCTTTTTAAAAGAATATTTATTTTTGCTTCGCTAGGGTCAGTTCCCTCACAGACAAGCCAGCCTCACCTCAGTGGTTTCTACTGTCATGGTTCCTTTCTTCTTTCCTCCCACCCAGTTTTTAAACTCTGAATCTCAGTACTGTACAGCTTTTAATTTAATGTTAAGTGTGAGAAACGGGAAAAAAATAGGAACAACTTCCCAGGAAGACAGTTCAGAAATGAAGGAGAAAAACCAATCACAAGTGTTTCCTAGTTAAAAGGAGATTACAAATTAAGAGACTGACAGATTAAGGAATTTATAGACTATGAGGTTTTCAAACTGAGGTACATGAGTCTATAGGTGTACACACGGGCCCGGAGAATGGGACTGGGGTTCGAGTTTGTATGTGAACAGCAGAAGAGCCATCCCAAATATGAGGATGACAAGGGTGCTGAAAGCAGGTGGAGAAGGATTAGGGTTATTCTTTTATGAGTCTGGGAAACTCTACCAACTGCTAGCTGGTACCGTTCATAAAAGCAGTATTATTTCCCCTTAGCTCTACCAACTTTGCAAAGCAAGTTCTGTTTATGTCGTTGGCTATTATCAGCCTTTCAGAAAATTGGTTTTTTGCTCACATGTCACTTCTTACAAAAGTGGTGCTTCCTTACCCTCTTTTTTTTCTTTTTCTTTTTTTTTTTTTTGTTGTTGTTTTTTTTTGTTTGGTTTTGTTTGTTTGGGGTTTTTTTGTTTTTTTTTTTTTTGTTTGTTTGTTTGTTTGCTTTGGGTTTTTTTTTTGTTGTTGTTGTTTTGTTTGTTTGTTTTTTAGATGTAGGCCTCAATACAGCTTACCAGCTTGGCTTATCCATTTCAGAGCTCCAGATTTTTAACCGTATTTAGAACAGCCTAACACTTAGCCGTTCATTATCTTTCAGTATCAGGTAAATACAAAATATATTTACTTTCAACAATCATTACACATAGCAAAAACCACTCAGTCTACAGTAAACAGTAGGTTACCATCCTTTCCTATGCTTTTAACATCAGCAAGAGAAAAATAATTCACCAAACCCTACACAGGCATGCTTCCAAGTGCTAGAGACTGCATAACACATGCTCAGATTTATCAATCCCGAAACAGCTTTGGCAAGATTACCTTTCTTTTTCCATCATGATCTGCACTGGGCTTAGCTGGTTACTTTTATTGCCAGTTCCCAGCTGCCCATAAGTGTTAGCTCCCCAGGCATAGAGCAAACCCTCATCTGTTAGTGCTAGTGTGTGCGCATAGCCACAGGCAATCTGTAAGTAAATGTATAAGCATTACTACTAAACAAAACAGAGATCAGAAACAAAATTATTGCACTCATTACCTTAGTCTAGCTGATGTTAACCGTCTCAGGCACTCTTCATTTAGCACTACAATGTGTTATTTCTCAGTACGTAAAGCTAACACAAAATACATTAGCTGGAGGTACTGGAAAAGTGCCAACTTCATTTAGTGTTCATCGGCTACTTCTAAATAATTTATTGCACTCTTGCAAAGTCTCCCTAGACTTTACTTGCTTTCAGTTGTAGACTCTGCACACAAAGAACAGTGAACTTCATCATCATGTCTTGCAACTCTGAAATACGTTCAGAATTTGATGTTTTGAATGCCATACAAACTGTGAGAAACTGCAGTTCAACAGCCAACAAACTGTTCTACCCAAGTTACCATAAGAAACTACACAAAACCTTACTAAAAACCCAGGAAATCCCAAATTTTTGTTTTAGCTGGAAGGAAAAAAAAAAACAAAAAAACAAAAACAAAATCCACCCCACACCACACAACCCAAAAATCAAAAAAACCCCAACCACCAACCAACCAAACCCACACCCATGACTCATTTTCCCCCTCCCCTCACTTCTGAAGACGTAATTACAACATTAATGTAAACTTAATTTGAACATCTTGTTCCCTTTCATTTCTTGTCTCCACCTAGTGCATTTCATTCATTCAGCTTTGTAATAACGATGCAATTTGTATCCATAGCGTAATTTACTGCTAGTTACACTAGCTAACTTTAAATCATTCAGAACATTTACAAAAGCAAGCATTTTACAGCTTACTTGCACTTTTTTAGAAGCCTAATATAATTTACAGGATGGAAAGAAATTCAGAATTTTGAACTGTTAAATCTAGAAGCAGATATAAGATTCCAACGACACAGTTTTAGCAGATGCTAGCAACATGAATGCATTTTCATTTCCATGTTAGACATACCTGGAGTATACACACGCCATGTAACGCTGCTATTCTGCATGGCGTTAGTTGATTGCCATTGTTTCCAAGACCTAGCTGACCATTACCATTGTAACCCCAGCCATAAACCTGATTGCAAAAGGAAAGCAAAATTAAGCCACTCCTCCGTAGAAGCATAGAACACTTAAGACTTAGTATCAAGCACAAGTCAAAAAAAGCAGGCCTTATTAAAAAACTGCATGATATTCCAAAAGAAATATAGACAAGGGCAAAAGATATTAAGTATACTGCACTGACTATTCAACTCTTCAATCCTGCATTTCCCTTTTAAAGAAGCTTTCTATAGTATATTTGTCTTTGTAGTACTAGGAATTTTGCAATAAACTTGTAATACACCAAAATCTCTCCAAAGCATCACCATTTTAGTTGACTTTTACACCTTCCTTTCTCCGTATTACTTTTTTTAAATAAAACAAGAAATTAGTTGTTCTGCTCACCTGATTAGCTACTGGGATTACCTTAAACTGAAGTTCCCAGTTTAGCTCTAATTTTTCCCTTTGGTTTTGTTATGGTGGACACAGCAAGACAGAAGTATGTACAGTGAAAACTCATCTCAACCTCAGGGACTATTACAGTCCCTCCGGTCACAAAGAAATGCTACACTTCAAGTTTGGTGAAATGTAATAAAAATGAGGTTACAGTTCATACCTAGAAGCAAGACAGCACCATAAACTCAGGTGAACCAGAACAGTTGCACAATACTAGGGCAATGTTCTAAAGCTTGGTTTGGTTTTGTTGCTGTAAATGAAGCAATGTGTTTAAGAATCAGGATCAGTCAGTGTATTCTTGGCAGAAAGATTAACTATTTAATTGTGCACAGTTTCAAAAAAAATCTAATGAAGACATATGTTAATCTGTTGAAATATGAAGACAGACATGCTTAATGCAACTGTTCAAATCCTTGCAGTTGCAGACTCAGTAAGAATTACTGTAAGTTCCAATACAGTGTTTGCCATAAGAAGAAATGTTTAGTGTAAAGAGAGCATCTCCAGTTAATTACAGTGTTCTCCTTTACTTGGTCTCACAGAAGTTACGCATGTAACTCTAATATAACTCTGTCAGTACAACTCTAACTTGAGTGCTCCGTGTCAGCATTTCTCCATGTTCAGACATTAATCTCGTAAGTTTGGGTAACAGAGAACGCAGCAATGCTTACCTCACCATTGTTTACCACAGCCATGGAGGAAGTCTGACCACAAGCAATGCCAACTACCATTTTACCCTGCAAACAGTTCGAAACTCTACGAGGAGTTGGCTGGTTTGCTGTAGATCCAGATCCAACTTGACCACAGCTATTATAGCCCCAAGCGTACAGCTGTCCATAAAAAAACAAACAAAAAACTGCAATTTAAGCCTTAATAATAGTAATAAAGCATAATCTTACCATAGTCAGCATCAGATTGAGTCAAGTATCCTATTTAACAAGCTAAAATGCTTAAAATTATTTTTCAACAGCTGAAAATTATAAACAGCAGTAGGGCTGATCTAGCAGATATGAACATACCACTTTTTTCAGTTTCTTGCTACAGAATTGGAGCATCTGACTACAACAGAAAACAAAAGGAACATATTGCCATATGAAATATAAGTCAGACTATAAGACCAAGAGCATAGCGAGTGGACTGTCTTTATGCTTTCATGATGTTGGAAAAAGGAATGCAAGCCAGGATGTTGTTTGTTTCCCAAACAAGCTGAGCTCCTCAATTTACAGCTAGTTAGTTTTCTTCATAGAACTCTAAACCAGGTTATTGCTGGACACTCATCATACCTCTTTTACATCTTTCAAGAGCTGTGAAAGGAGATGGCTTTGTCAGCCCCTGTTTCACAGTAGCAAAACTCTTACACAATGCCATTAGCAAAAAAAGCACCATCTCTGACAGTTCAAAGTTTGCCAGTGGCAAACTAATAAAACCAAAACTATTGGTTCCTTTCGTCTAAAAGTCCAGAACACAGGGAAGCAGTTTGCTATAAAAAGATATTTATAGCTCTGGATTTTCAGTTCCTTCAATTTTTATTACTTGCATTCACACCCACAGATTGGCACAGAACTATTTCTGAGAGTCCATCCTCTGGGGTGTCACCCAGTTAAAAAGTTTGTCCTCTTGAAAATACCCAGCCACAGACAGGCTAGCCAGTAAAGGCACACTGACAGATACCCTCATGTGAAGTCTGCACATCCTTTGGTGCCAGAAGCCACTTGCTTATTGTGACACCAAACCAAATGCCAGTCATTAGAAACAAACACCTCTCCTGCCACCAAAGCAAACAAAACCACCCCCACCAAAACAGGAACCAAAAAACCTCCCAACACAACTCATTTACCATGTCTAATATGAACAAAAGACACCATTAGTCCTCTGGGTTTTGTTACCTGTACCTTCTGGATCTTTGATTCCTACTGAATACTTGAAAATGCTCTACAAAATATCTTAATTTCAATAACATAGAAAAAAAACTGAGGTAGAGAATCTCAGAAGGTAGATCAAAACACCAAAGAGCGATTCAGTTTCCTCTCTGAGAAGCATGAATGTCTGCAGTGCTTTAAGTCTACCATTTAGATTCTTTTTTTTTTTAAATTTGCACTACATTAAAATTGCACTGAACCACCTGTACAAATCAATTACGCCAAGTATTTCCACGAATACTTCCAACTTCAATGCCTCTCAAATCGCCAGACATATCAAGTCACAAGGCTTTGCAGCCAAATCTTTCTGCAAATAAAACTCTACTTAACACATTTTGCTGTTTTCAGTATAATCCATTCTGGTACAGATAAAACCTCTGAGCACAAATAGACAAAGCTACTGCAAGGTATGCTAGGGATGGATTTATAGTACATTAACTAGCCATCACAGCCAGCAAGCTGCAAATCTCAACTCCGTGGTAAATACAAAGAAGCTTTGCTGCTTCCATTTCAAGCATGCTACATTTATTACAAGAGACAGCATGGCCATCACAGGCAGCTACCACACAGCAGCAGGCACCACTAGTTTAACTAATACCTGAACACCCTCTCCTTCCTGCATGCACATCAAATTTTATCATTTAACCAAGTGAAATGCCACAGCATGAAGATCTTCCCTAAGCGCGGGCTCTCATTTCAGATACAACACAGACCACTTAAATTAATCCAGCGTCTCTTTCCTAGCCTAAAAATTACTGCTTTGCTACTTTCTATTACCGTTGCACTACGACTCCACGCTGAACCATAACACAGACTTGCTCAGATTACCAAAATGGAAATAATTGTAATTTCCATTTTCATTGTTAGGAAGGTTTTAAAATTAGAACTCTTTTGTTAAAGCAGAGCTGAAATGAGGCTTTCCTCCATGCAGTAACATGCAACTCAAATCAGAGACACACACATTGGTCAAATCTGACTAACTGGAAACTAACTGTACTCGTTTCCCCTGACACATAGCCTTAAGCCATCTAAGCAAATAGCATAAAGCAGATTTGGATATAAACAAAGTGTTCTTTCATTAGCTACACACAAAGGTATTGAGAAGTGTGCAGAGCAACACTCCTTTACAGCACCTGTGTGGAATTCATGAAGACTACAAGAAACAGACTAAAGACTAACCAGTGAATACAAACAACTCAATATACCCCTTAAATAACAGAACTACAAGCAAATAACAATGTTACATTTTGCACCTCACAAACCATTCTTTCACCTGTAAGTGGCACAGCTTTCTGGTCTCCTCCCTGGGAGACACAACAAATGAAAGACACAAACGTTTACTAAGCTTTTCTTCCCTTGCTTTTGTGATTGGATTGGGTTTTTTTTTGTTGGGGTTTGTGGATAAGGTTCTTCTGAGTTGTTTTCAGGCCTGCTCTGAAGAAAAGGACACCTTAGTTTAAGGCAGCAGGAGAAAAGGTTATATTGCAACTACACTATAGAGAAAGAACTTCAGGCTGCAAGGTCATGTGCACTATTTGAACAGGTTTCAACTTACATCCCCATCAAACGACAGCGCCATGGAATGATGAGAGCCACAAGCTACTTCCACCACTTTCTTTATTAACAGATTTGTGCAAACTTGAACAGGAGTAATGCCCTGATTGGTTGTGCCATTCCCAAGTTGGCTGTAACCATTATGTCCCCAAGCATATACTTCACCATCTGCAAAAAAAATTAAGTTTGTTATAAAAACCACCAAAAATTCCGAGGAAGTTAAGATAGACAGAATTCTAACAAATTAGCAAATGCCAACAAGAAAGCGAAAGGACATTAACAAATGGTGAAGCTATTGCAAGAAGCATCCGCATACTAAAAAAATATATACTTTGTATAGAACTCTTTTATACGTGTATATATAACAGTATAACCTCTTGATTTATTGTTGAAATATATGAAAGTGCATAGGTAAGACTGAGTACGTCATAAACGAAAGAGTAAAACTCTATAGTTGCAACATAATGGAAATGGAAACTCACTTTACCTAATACAGAATACATTTAGTTCCACTTAAGACCAGTGAGAGCCCCTTAGTGTACATGAGCCAATTAACAAGCTAACACAATTACACCTTAATCCATTCTTATTAAATGCAAGTGGAACTTAAAACCTGTAACTTATGTTTGTACACTAAATGTGAATTTTCTACCTTCAGTGCAAAGTACAACATGGGGTCCACTTCCATAACTGAGACTGGAAATCTTCTTTCCACATAAGGCTTCTAACTTCTTTGGTACTATTGTGCTCTGATTATCTCCGGTTCCCAAACAATTATTGCAATTCAGTCCAAAAACAAATACCTGAAAAAACAGAGGAAAACTCATTTCAAGCGGTTTATACTCGGGTATGCACTGCATAGATGTGGCAATATCCAGGTCTTCATAAATGCAGGACAAGAGTTTTGCCATAGACTCTCAAAAGCCAGAAACCTCCCTCGTGGAAGTTAATAAGCTCAAGAGTCAGCACCAAGACACTGGAAGTTCACTGGTGGGTCTGAATTCTTCAGGTCCAGGCAGGCCTGAAAGCTAGGTTTCTCATTTGCAGGAACTGTACTATAAAAAGTATTAAACTGTGAAAGTGGAAGACGCCACCTTCTTTTAAAAACATTTTTTTAAAGAGCAGCCACAGCTGTACTGTGGGAGGCTCATCCTATAGGCAGCTTGGATAGGACTTAGGAGGGAAAAAAAAAATAAAATATCCTACTCTACCCAGTCTTACAAGAAACCCACCCATTAATACATCCCAAAACATCTGGCTTGTTTTCTTCCAGCAGCACAGTGCTAACCTGCATTATGTTTCTGAATCATTAAAATCCACAGATAATCTTCTGCTGGATTGTTACTTATCAAGCCACAACCTCATTTTTTATCTTCATACCTGGAGTGCTTTCACTTAATTTCAATCTACTACAACTTCCTTTGTATTCTAACTGTCTTCAAAAGTGCACGTAATCCATCCCAGCCTTTGCCATTTGCAAGTTTCCTAAATACTCCATCTATATTGTCCCTGTACAAGACTTAAAAAAAAAAAAAAATCATCATTTATATCCAACATGTTTCGAAATATACAAATTTCACACAATGCTTTTGAGAAGCTATTAACTTACAAGTATTCAGTGGGCTCTGAAAACAACTAATTATAGAACATACGTTCCACTTCATTACAGCCTTACCTCATCATTGTGCGTTATGTATATAGCTTCATTGGCTGATGTACCAAATACACATGCTTTCCGAATAGATGCTATTTCTTGAGGTGACAGTAAGGTAAATATTGGCCACTTGCCTACATCCACCATGATGCTGCTGTGTGTCATGACGTTTCTACAAGTAAGATGACATTTCTGTAATAAAAAAAATATTTTTTTTAATTATTAAAAAAGTGTACTTTAACTATTAAAAAGCGTATTTTGCACTTTCAGCAACAGGTAATAATTTCCTTTAAATGAGAGAAGATACATGTGTCGTGGCTCTGAAAGTCTAACATTCTGTATGAAACGTGTCATTCTATTTCCATGTACTAAGGTGAACAAATAGCAAGCCACTGGTAGGACATCGGAAGCACAGACCATTCCTTAACAGGACAGTTGTACTGAATACAGTTTACTTAACTAAACATCTGCTGTTCTACAAGCAAACTTATTAAAAGCTTGTGATCTAGCAAATACCCACCAGTGGCAGAGTGGGTTTCAGAGGGAATTTCCGTTGGAATTCCCATTTATAAAATTTTTGCTTTGTGAAAATTTTTTTGCAGTCTTACAACTTCTATACGCCGTTGTAAGCACACTGTTGATGTATATGTGAATCCTGCAAATAAAAATAAAGCTAGGGCTGTTAAGCACACGATCTAAATTTGTCACCTCTTGCATAATTAAAAGCTGTTATTATGGTCAAAAACTATTTGTGAGAGCACAAAAGCATGACAAACTCATCAGTTCGTACAATTAAGCAGGGAAACACATCAGAGAAAAGCAATTAAGTAAAATTGTCATAATCTGTTACTTAGAAACAAGCTGGACCACATTAAAAATGGGAAACATGACTGGGTATAGACATCATCTGTCAGTGAACACAGATGTATGTAATTCATCCTTCCACAATGCTCCTTCTTCCCAGCTTCCTTGGGACAATTCCACCAGCTCAAGAACAACAGTCAACAAACACACAGAGCATATCTAGGTCTTCAATCCTGCACATAAAAATTGTAACATCACTCATGCCCTGAAGGGATTCTGCCACTGACAATCTACGATCCGTGTTCAGACATATCAGCAAGTTTTGTGAAATCTGAAAAGCACTAGATGGAGAATTCCATAGAATGTCACTGATGTGATACAAGTCACAATTAACCATTTTGGAAAAAAAAAAAAAAACAACAACAACAACAAAAAAAAAAAAAAAAACACACACAAAACAGAAACCACCATCAAAAAAAAAAAAAAAAAACAAACACACACACAAAAAAAAAACAGAACAAAAAAAACCCACATAAAGAATCATTCAACGGGTAAGAAATGTAGTCTCTATTAAGATGCCATCCTCTCATCAACATTCAGTTCTTTCCTTTTCATTTGTTTGCTCCAGTCCTATGCTATCCCCCCACTCCTTGCTCTGTTGCTTTCAAGTCAGGCTTCTTCTTGACGATGTCTGGGTATCAGATATGGACAGCAGTGAGAACAGGAGAGCCTCTTTCTTTTGGTTCTGATGCTTGGTTCTCAAAACTGCGCTGACAACCAAGACATGGCTTCACAAAGCTATTCAAGACCAACAGTCAGTCCTAAAATACAGGTTGTTTAGTGCAGAGTTTTTTGGAAGGAGGGGGATTATTATTATTTTTTCAAAAAGTTTGAGGAACACCAAGGTCACAGTAGAAGTATACGTGCAAAAAAAACACAACACAAAGAAAACCCAAACTTGTGTCCTTATCAGATTTCTTAACCTTGCTCCAACAAACCCAGATCTGCACTACAGGCACCTCTCTCACTGAGAGCCTGACTTCACTCTACATTTCACATTTGAAGCAGGTCTTGACAACACCTGAAGTCTCCAGATGGCACATTCATAATAAATGTATTTGTAGAACAGCTCTTGAAAAGTCTACCTGATGCCAAGACCACAGCCCATTTGACACAGCTAAACAGATTTGAATGCAGTTAAGCCGCCTTAGTTTCTAGTCCAGTTACAAACTCAAGCTAGTTAGTTGCTAAGATTTGTTACCTCACTTTGGGAAATCATTTAACATACGACACTATCGATCGATTAAAAGGAGAGCACGATGACTTGTTCTTTTGAGCAGACCAAGTGATTTTCTCTTCTGACTTTACCTATTTAATTTGCCTCATATACTATATAATTGGCAATGCAAAAACATGTCATAAACTGGACATTAAGGAAAATACTTTCTTCAATGAAGTTCTTTCCAACACATCCCGTCTATTTAAGACATTTAGAGAAAATGTTATTTTGATGAAGCATGACCTAGTAAATTAACAAGTTTTACAGCACCCTAAGAACCTACTCTACTCTAAAGGTAACCAGTTTAAAATGTGCTACTTTACCTCTCCCTTTCTGATCTTTGCACTAGATCTTTAATCCTCTTGGCTTATTTTCCACTACTGTATGACCCAGTTAACCACTCTTCTTTGACGAAACCTTTCCAAGCACTTCCAAAACCTCCGTGAGTTCCACTGCATTTCCCATATGTCAGAGTTCAGCTGGATATCTTGTCACAGAAACTAATACCAGTAGAAAAAAGAAAAGCTTTCAAGCACACAGGACTTTTGAGATTGAAAACATGAGCAACGAACTCCATCCACAGATGAAAAACCTCACAATTTTTGACAGGTGTAACTCTGCTTTATCTGAAACAATGCTGTATATTTCCAATTTCAACTGTTACTACAATCCTACAAAGTTACTTCAAGGGTTTTGCCTGAGAGGTTTTTAATGACAATTCACCTGCCACTGGCAGGTTAGTTTCTTTAATAAATCTCAATCCTAAAGCCCCCCCAGGTTTAGCAACCAATGAAGGTTCACAAAAATCCTTAAAACAAAAACAAGCAAACAGAAAACATCTTTTGCCTTTTATATAATATGTACTGTTTCACCTCAGACACACACCCTTTTCCCCTCCTCTACAAATATTATTGTCCTTAGATGCTGCCATTTGCTAGAGTACCTATCATTCAGTTGCAACATTTTTGCAGTAGCAACAGTAGCTATTTTTGTTTCTGCTTATGTCTAAAGGAGTGAAATAACACACAAACCTGAAAGTTCTGAGGCTTATATATGGATCACTGCTGCTTACCTTTAACTGTGCATGGAAAGCTGTTTTAACTACTCATTCTGTGCTTTCCACAGAAAATAAATGTCCAACCTAGGCATAAGATCCGCTTTTTTCCTCTCTAAAGATGGATTCCTTAACAATCTTAGCCAATTTCCTAGTTTTCCAATAAAAGTTCTAGTTGCCACAGGAGGGGGGAAAAAAAAACAGTCTGCAGTGGGGAAAAAGAGTATTTAGGGAATATATATTTATATATAGCACTGTAAATGGAGATGTTGGTAAAGTAATTGAGGGTTATCAAAACAGAAACCCAATTAATTTTAGCATCCTTTAAGACACACTGCACACTTTCCAAAAGGGTAGACACTGCAATACTGTGATTGACCTCTCACACCAATCACACTCAGGCTTCATCCTTGTGCAACATTTGGCTGAATATGGCGGTGAAAAGGCATGTGCAGAGTTTCTTCTGGGCAAATCCTTGCTATGAAAGGCTGATTTAGGAGACTTCAGTCACGTCACGGCAAGCAGCGGCACGAAGAAACACAGTGTCCTTCTCTTACCCTTGCTGTACTGCATCAATAAGAGAGCTGAGGTTATTGTTTACTTCTCCTGATAATCACATAAAGGCCTGCACGCCACTACATTACATGCTATGCAACCACTGCACCTTAACTGAAAGTTTGTAAGCACAACATGGTAGCAAAGGTACCAGATGGAGGCCAAAGTAACGAAGTTCATTTAATCTGTACGCAAATAGCTGTCTCAATATATTAGCTCTCAAGCTATTGTTTAGATTCTGCATGCAACATGACAGAAGCAGTTCTAAGGTTGTAGCTGTCAGTTACATATCAACATCTAGATTTTAAATTAATTGCAATTAAAAGTCTTAGGAGTATAAAAGTTGTAAGCTTAAACCTGGTGTTCTGGTAGATAGTTGCTTTTAGAAACACTGTATGTCACTGATTTTAACTGTCATTTAATTTCTGTTGCATGATTCGGTGATAAACAACTATACACCATATAGCTTTATTTCTACTGCAGAATTAACCAGCAGAGGGAGCTTATGGCAACAATACCTCTAACTGATTTGACATCTTTGAAATTATCCAACAATCTCACTATATAAACAGGAACAAAGATAACTGCCTGAATTTCAGTGAGGCTAAAAATAAGCAAGAAAGGATGACTTGTAGAGAATGAAAATGAACTGGTCACATATTCGCAATAAAAAGAAATTGAACTCAGAGCAGTCAACAACATTAGGGAAAAAAAATCTAGATCTGCTCAGAATTGATAAAAGCCACATGCTTTCAGAGACATAAGCCTTTCAGAAATTCTGTGCTAAACTGCTGCCTATGCATTCAACTTCTCGCTAGCTTGCTTTCTAAAGTGTGCATTCTGATTCTCAGTGATATATATGTAGGCAAACATGAATCCCTGTCTTAAATAATAATAATAATAAAACAAAGACTGTTTAGAAAATGTTTTTTTAAATGAGTGCTAAATAATAAAGTTTTACAGAGTTTATAGTTCAGCTAAACAAATCCACGCTGGAGAGAACAATAGCCTAACACAACATCCCACCCGGAAAACAATACCAATTGTCATTGAAACAAAAAACTGTAGTTAACTCCTCCAAGATTATCCCCTCATTTTGTAAAAGCTGCTTGAACACAATTGCGCGTTTGTTTGTTTCACTCTTTCCTCAGGCTCCAACGCCGAAGTGTATTCTAGCTGGGCAGACTTATTCCTGCACAGAAAGAAACTGCAGGCTCAGGCCTTCATTTCTCCTAATTGTCTATGGGAATTATAAGCAGCAGTGAGAACACAAAAGCTGGGATATCTGCCTTTAGGACAACAAGAAGTGACTGGCACACTTGATCCTTTTTTAAGTACACTTCAACCAAGAAAGAGCCAAATCCGAGACATAGCACTAATCTTCACCATGTTTTCTCCAGTTTATGCTTGTTTTTTTAATCTCGTATTTCAGTATTGAGAAAGAACAAGGAAACAATACATACTATTGACATTAATCAGATGTGTGAACCAAGTGATGTTATTGAGGCTTTCTCCCTGCCAACACAAAGATATTCCACTCCCTGAAATCACATGCCTTCACTTTCCTTCGACCTTACATAAGGCAAGATTTCTGTGACAAAATCTGTGCGTTCAAACCTCTGCACGATTTATTTTTGGATGCCTTTTATGAGCAATGCAGGGAAAGAAAAACCTGCTGATCTAAGACCTGACAACCAAACCTCTTATTTGCTTTGAGTAACCAGCTGAGATACAAGCAAGCAAAAAGCACCACGCACATGAATACCATTGAACATAATACCGCTTCAGCAATAGGAAAAAACCCTCAGTAGAATGACAGTCATCCACCCACAACAACAAAATCATAATTACAATCACAATATGCCTTCTTTTTCATTTTTAAGCTGAACCATTACTGCAACTTATTGAAGCGATTCACTCAGGACACGACATCTTCTAAAGCAATACCTGTATTTCAGTCTGACAAGTACAGAGATAAGCATTTGAAGGAAAACGTTCGTATTAAGGCTCTGAAGACTTATTGCAACTTCCAAACGCTGTTTTTCCTAAAAACCTTTGTGCTCCAAAACCACTTCCATTTACAAAGTTTAGTATCTTTTTCTCATAACCGTTCTCCTAGTTTAAACGATTAAAGTCCACTCACCTTTTGTCAGTAGACAACATGTGTTCTGAAAGAGGTCAACTCAAACTGTCTAAATTAGAACTTGAAAGTTTCTTTTAAAAAGTAAATATTCCTTTAATATTTAATTTAGAAGAAGTGTATGAAACACTGAAAAAAACACTAATTATTCATATAAAGCCCAGTGAGGGGGGAAAAAAAAAAAATGTTGAGAGCTCTGCTGTTTTGGTAAGCTAGATCTCAGCCTTCAGGAAGCAGACAACAAAGGGAAGGATGAACCGAAACACCACAAATCAGAAAAAAAAAAAAAAAATCTGTAAGAACATATTGTGAACTACGCCAAGTAGGAAGAGAGACCTTCGGAGAGCTGTATGGGAGCAATTCACAGGCGGACTACGAGAAAGCTTCGCCAAGTCACTCGGATGAACCCCCCCCCCCCCCCGAAGGAGCATTCCCTCCCCCGGGTGGGTATCATCAGCCGCACAGACCCTCAGCGGGGTCTCGGCGGTGACCTCCGCCCGGCAGCTCCCGCCCACGCCAAACCTCAGCCCTCACGGAAACGCCCGGGGCTGGAGGAGCCCGCAGCCCCACGCAGGGGCCGCCCACACCCAGCGCTCCTCACCCGGCCCCGGCGACATTCCCCCGGCGGGCTTCCCGCGGCCGCTCCGCCCGGCGGGCCGGGCGCTCCCGCTGTCTCCGAGGTGCCAGAGCCGTTAGGGCCGTTAGGACCGTTAACGGCCGCCCGGCGCCCAGCCCCCACGGTCAAGGGGCCTGAGGGGCGCAAGAGCGCGCGCCGGCGCCGCGCACGTGACAGCGGCGGGCGAGGGGAAAGGGAAAGGGGGGGGCGGGTAGGGCCAGAGGAGCGCGTCACGTGACGCCAAGCCCCGGGCGGGCCCCCTACCGCTTCGACCGTTCGCGCGCGCCGTCACGTGGCCGGCGGGCGGTGCTTTCCACCCACCCCCCCCCCGCCCCTTTCCTCAGCGCCTATTGGGCGCGGTAAGCGTGACCACGTGGCGCCACGCCTCTCCCCCCCCCCCCCCCCCCCGCCGCCATCTTCCCCGGGCTGTGCCGTGAGGGAGGAGCGGATGGCGCCCGGCCCCGCCCCGCTCTGAGGGCCCTGAGGGCGCTCCGGCGGGCCCGGAGGTTTGTCTCATGTCGTCCCGTCCCGCCTGGGGATTGTGTGAGGCTTCGGGGCTCTGCGGCTCGGCCGGGCCCAGCGAGCGCCGCGGCGGGGTCAGGCCGGCGGGCACGGCTGCCGCACCCCCGCGGCGACGGGACCGGGTGGCACCCGCTTTGCCCCCGCGCCCTCAGTGGCTCGAAGCCGAGGAGAAGGTCAGATGGGATTGCAACCAGCCCAGGGTTCCTGCTCTGGCCACAACCGAGCAGAAGCTCCCAGGGCTGTGGTGGGATCCGTGATTCTTACACTTCAGTCTAGCGCCTGTAGCGTCTGAAACCAGCCGGGTTCTACACGTGGTGTTAATGGTCTTCAGACACGGTCACGTAAAGACTTAACTGCATTCAGAGGTTTTTAGCCAGTATGTAACTACCTGTTAGACCTTAACATTTACATAATCTTGTCTCATCGCAGTTTAGAGGAGACAAAGCTGGGGGAGGATCCAGAAAAAGGAAGATGGGAGACCAGCCTTCCCAGGGGAGCTCTTTTGTTACACAAAGTTGTTAACAGGAAGTGGCTTCCGCTTTTCTCAAAATTTACTTATTTTCCTGACTCTCCACAGGCTCAAAAGGCAGCTGGGGTTTACAGTGAGTGGGAAGCTGATCAATCTGAAACATAAGGCAGTGGGGTAGAGCCCACTGAAAGTATGTTTGGGGGTGGTCAATTCAGGAGAAAGCGGCTTAAAGAATAAATTAATTTGAAAAAAAAAATAATTTCAGTAACCAGGAATCAAGCGTGGATGGGTTGTTCTGAGAGGGAATCAGTGATGCTGAAGAAATTCTGCCCTGGAATATGAGGCGAGGAAAGCACAGCAGTAGGTCCAGGGTAAAAAGAGATTTTCCCCGCCAAGTTCCTGCTTACTGCACTGTTGAGTGACTGCAGCTGGCATCGGGAAGGCACTGCTGAATAGGTTGTGCAAATTCTGGGATGACAAAAAGAGAAGACATAAATAAGAAGACATGGAAAAGTGTCATCAGAGCCTCCATGGGAAGCCCTAAAAGAGCCGGAAAGAAAACATACACAACACTTATTTTCAGCTGGTGTTTGTGTCTCCAAAAAGGAATCGGCTGTCAAGAACTGCCTTTCCTGACATTGCTAGGAAATGTGTACAAAGGTGGAGCTGTGCAAGCCAAACTTTGATCCTATTTAGTACTGTAGAACACACCTGTTTAGTTACAATATACAGAAGCCAAGTTGTTTTAACAAGTACTGGAACACAAGCCCCTAGTCAGTTTTTTATTCACGTGGGTTTAAGTTTCTTGTTATTAGTTATCACTAATTAGTTTTCACCATGTGCAGTAAGTCCTTAAACAGTAGTTGCAGGCAGTTTATACCATGTCTGAGCTTTACAATCATTTGAAATGGCAAAAAAAAAAAAGTGCTCTGTATGGAGCAGAAGTAATTTTATAATCTTGCAAATAACTAGTTCCAGTTCCTTCAGTTTGGCTTTTTGTAGAAGCCAGCAATAACAAAAAACAACCTTCCCCCGTCATTTTTTCTGGAAGGAAGGGGGATATGAAACCTTATATCCATCTTGGAAAAGTTACGACAAGCTGGAAATGCTATGAAAGCATTAAATAGGCCAACCAGGGAAAGCAATGATGCTCAGAGACAAGTTTTGTAGAATAAAAGGCATTACGGCATGAGACAACACCCAGATAACACGTGTAACTCATTGCTGACTTTGGTGGATTAGCTCAGATGCTGATCCCTCTCTCTTACACTGGCAGTCTCAGCTCACATCTCTTTTGATAACCATAGCAGGCGACAATAAAGTGCTTTTCTCAAGTGACCAAACTGGGAACATTTGAGATTCAAAATGGACGTGGCATGGCATGGAATTACACCCCAAATCCTAATGCAACCTGAATCAGCAGTTTCATTACTAAGTATATGTTGTTGAAAACAGAGATTACAAAGGTGTGCATAGTCATAGGTAAATCCAAGTTTAGGAGAGTTTATGATCTCGTCAGTTGTAGATTAAAGTCTGTTCTGTATCTGCAGCTCTATAAATGACCACAGTGAGGAGTCATAACAGCAACTGTCAGTGACCTGTTAAAGGGTATTAAAAGAAGAAAATTCTTCAAAACGGTTGTCCTGGGTTGAGTGAGTGGTGGGGTTTTTTTGGTGGCAGGGGAGGGGGCTATCGGGGCAGCCCCCTGTGAGAAGCTTCTCGAAGCTCCCCCAGCTCCACGTCAGCTCCACCTCTGCACCAAAACTGAGCCAATCGGCTGTGCCTCTGCGATAACGTATTTAAGAAGGGACGTGGTGAGGAGCAGTGGGACTGGTGAGGAGGAGTTGCTGCAGCTGCGTGAACATCAAGGTCAGTGGAGGAACAGAGGAAGAAAGGAGGGGGGAGGTGTGCCGGAGCAGAGACCCCCCTGTATCCTGTGGGGAGATGGCAGGGCGGCCCCCCCTGCCACCCACGGAGATCTACGGTGGAGCAGACACCGATTTATGGCCGGTGGGGTTTTTTTGCCCGGTTGATCAAGGTGCTGTGCCCGAAGAAGGCCGGGGTCTTGTGGGAAAAGGCAGCCCTGCTGCTGTAATTCAGTGCTGGGAGGATTGCAGCATGCGGGGGAGTCCCACGCTGGAGCAGCTCGGGAAGGGCTGCAGCCGTGGGAGGGAATCCAGTCGGAGGAAGTTAGTGACCCATGATGGAGCAGTGTGGGGAACGCTGCGGCCCGTGGGAGGAATTCATGTCGGAGAAAGTTTGTGGAGGACTGTCTCCTGTGAGAGGGGGACCACGCTAGAACAGGGGGAACAAGTTCCAGAAGCTCCCCTCACCGAAGATAAAAGAAGTGGCAGCACTGCCTGCACCCCCCATTCCCTGCCCCTGCGCCACTGGGGGAGGAGGTAGAGATATCGGGAGCAGAGCTGAGCCCGGGAAGAAGGGAGGGGTGGGGGGAAGGTGTTCTCAAGGTGTGGCAATGCTTCTCACTGTCCTACTCTGTCACATGTTGTTAGTGTCTGTAATAAATGTATGTTCTTTTTTTTTCTTCCCCTAACGAGTCTGCCTTTTGCTCGTGCCCATAAAGAGGGAATTTTTCCCCATCCCAGTTCTATCTCGGACCCCAAGCCTGGCTCTCTGTCCCTTCTCATTGCCAGAGGGGAAGGGAGAGAGAGCTGCTGCGTGGTGTTAGGCTGCCGACCAGGCTCAAACCACGACAACAGTCCTCTCCTCCTCCTCATTCCGCATTATTTTTTCCATCAGCCAGTTAACTGTTTTCATTCAAACTGCAGAGTCCTAGAATACGATGCCAGCTAAATCTGATATGAAACCAACCTGGAACTAAGCGTCACCTGCACATAGCCAGCATCTTACTCCAACTCTGTTCTGCAGTCCTCACCATCAGCTCTCCACAGATGTGAAAGAACAGATACATGGAATATACGTTACAGCTGTTGTTCAGTAAAACCTGTTTCAAAGCGATCCTGCAGCGAAAGGGTGCCAAAGGCCTGAGGGCTCTGCAGAGGGAAGTCCTCTCCTAATCAAAGCAGGAGCTCTGACATCTGCGGTTTGGCAGGAGCTGTTTGATTCCTGGGGAGATAGTCCCTCCATCGAGAAATGTGTGGGATAACAGTGCCACTCTGTGACCAGACAGATGAAATGCAATTTCTGAATTTTCACAGATTTTTCTTTGCTTTCATCCGTTTTACCAGACAGAAGGGTAGTAAAGATCTGTCTTAGCTCTCATTCCTGTTGATAATTTCCGGTATCTTTCAATACATTTCCTTTACTGTTATGAAATGTCCTAAACATGCAAACTAAGATGAAAACTCAAAAAAAAAAAAAAAAAAAAAAAAAAAGATCAAACAAAACCTTGCATCCAAAACTCCTGAATCTGAGGAGCCCTGAGAGTGAGACTCCACTGTTGCTCTGGAACTTGGCAAGTTGTATGAGGTGTGTTTTCAGGTCCATGCTTACATTGTTATTTTAGTCACATTTCTTCCTGTGTAACTGGAATGAGGAAAGGCCCCTTAAGGGGAACTGGATTTGTATACTGCAAAGCAGAATTTTCCCTGGACTAATCTGGAGAGCTGACCTTCGTCAGCGTACCTCCAAGTTGTAATTTTACCTCCCGTAGAAGTAACAGATTCAGATAAGATGTTGCCTATATTATAGGTAATGCAAGCAGGCAGTGCGGTTAAGCATTATTTGATGACCTCTCTAGGGCTTCCTCTTGGTAGCAACTGAAGGAATCGTTAAAAAAAAAAAAAACAGTCCTTGCTTCATAGCTTTTACATTCAACAGATGGAGAGGCAAATACTAGGTTACGTGAGAGGACTGAGTAAAAGCCTTTTTTTGATATTTTTGTACTTATACCTATTTTTTACTCCTTTTTTCATTTTCAACTAGAAACATTAAGAATAATGGAAGAATTGAGATTAAGGCGTTTCAAGATAGCCAGAGCTGTATTTTCACTAGTTTTGTAGGTGTAAACAGCATGTTTGCAGTATGTAGCATAGATGAACATATGACCTAAACTGGGATAGAGACCAGCTGTAAGAGGAAGAGCTAATGCATAGTCTCAGGAAAGGGAGTGATGGTATTAGGATAGGTATAGAAGCCAAAGAAGCTCAGTTTTTAATTGCCCTGAGGAAACAAAGCTGAGGTGTTAGGAGTCAAGGAGGAAGAGATCTGTGAATTTCAGACATAGGAAGGAGGATCTGGAATGAGAGTTCTAGTGGTATAGGCAGAAGAGTACAGAGCATTGCCAA